GACATATGCTAATTGACTAAAAAAAGTGAAAATTCATTGGGTAAACCACTCTGCCATATATGTTGCAGCAACAAATTCCGAAACATAGCACTTAATATTCATTCAGTAATTCTATTCCATATTGATGTAATCATAATTGATAACATTGCATCTACAAAATAACTATAAATAGTAATACACTGACTACCAATAAGTATTTGGACACCTATGCAAATGGCGATATCTGCGGTCCTAAGGTAGGTCACGGACTCCGCCTGTATATATCGTGTAGGAAACAGCATCGGCTTTAGTCGTGTGCAATATGCCTCGCAGTTCGGAGCTCTCTGATTTCGAGAAAGGTATAATTATCGGGTATCACAAATGTGGCCGATCCTTAAGGGACATATTTAGCGATCTGAAGTACCCAAAATTGACAGTGGCGTATGTGATTAAGAAGTGGAAGGTGAGCGGTGATTGTCAGAATGTGCCCCGACTCGGCAGACCAACAAAACTGGGAGATAGAGACCGAGGAGTGCTGTCCAGAGAAATTTGGAAGAAACGCACCCAACCGATGGCCATCATCCGCGAGGAGTTTTAACAGGCATCCAGGAGTATTGTTTCAATGAATACCATCCGTAAGGAAGCACATCTGCTTGGTTTTCATGGTCGTGCTACTGCCCATAAGTCTTTGATCACAAAGTCCAACCGCGCTGCTCGGTTAATGTGGTGCAAAGCACGTCGAAATTTGACAGTAGATCAGTGGAAACGGGTTCTTTGGAGTGACGAATCAAGGTTCACCCTTTACCATTCGGATGGCAGGGTCTGGGTCTGGCGTCTGCCTGGAGAACTTCTGCCAGAATGCATTATGCCAACAGTCAAGTTCGGCGGAGTTGGAATTATGGTCTGGGGGTCTTTCTCCTGGCATGGGCTAGGACCCTTGGTTCCCATTCATGGTAAGCTCAACTCAGATGCCTACTGCATTATTTTGGATGACAATGTGCTTCCTACGTTGTGGCAGTTTTATGGGTTGGATCCCTCTTACTGTCAGGACGACAATGCCAGTTGTCATGTTTCGACGTTAACCAAGGCTTGGTATGGTGCCAATGGAGTTCATCGAATGGACTGGCCTGCCCAGAGTCCAGACCTGAACCCTATCGAAAAAAAACCTCTGGGACGAGTCGGCAAGCGCGAATTGAATCAGGGGTGCACTACCCGTGCAAAATCGGTGAAGGAACTTCTATGTCTTCTCCAAGCTGAGTGGAAGAACATACCACTAGCTGTCATACAAAGACTTGTGGAAAGTATGCCCCGGATGGTCCATGCTGTAATTACCTCTTGTATAGGCTGTACCAACTATTGATTTTGAATAAAGTTAGTTTTTCTTTTCTATCACAAAAACCAAATACTTGTTGGTGTCCGAATACTTATTGGTAGTCAGTGTATATGAATAAATAAAAAATAAATAAACACCCCACTTTGACCTTGGTTAAGATGAACTCTGCTGATTTCTAATAGACGTTACTTGTTCAGGTTCGGTAACCTTTTTTTATTACTGTGAATTACAGTACTATGAAAAAGAATATGTCGTATATGTCGACATGTAATGCACACTTTAATTACAAAAAATAAGAATGAAATTTACGTGTGTGCATTATATGCTGGGTATAAGAATGATAGAAAAAAATAAGGAAAAAGCAGCATACAAAAATTAGATTTTTACATGTACCTAAATGCTGTTTATTTAAAAGAAATGATATACCTTATGAACTTAAAAATTTTTATTATCAGATAACATGAAAAGTTTGTCTACCATTATATCTTCATGCACATCATCGAATTCTGTTTCATCTTCACCATCATTGTCACTCTTATTTATAAATAAATAATCATCATCCAATCCAACTTTCACCAACACCAAACATCCTTGCTGCAGCACAATATCCATTTTCTTTCACAGAATGAATGACTTTGCATGTAAAATCAGCACTTTTCTTTTCTTTTCTTTTCTTTTCTTTTTTTTTTTTTAGCAGCAGGAGCCATACTTACTACTGAAAGAAACACAAGATAAAATCAAAGTTCACTTCAGAATCACGGCTTGAAACAACTACAGAAAAAGAAAATATCCTACTCCTAATTCCGAAAATTCATTCTGGCCGAAAGGACATTCCTATCCCAAAAACTGTCCCCTTTTTCTTGAAATTCTAGAATAATATTCCTGTATATCTGCATTGCATACAACCCACCCTCTTTGCAGGATTATTTATTCCCTGAAGCAATTCTCCCACTCACATATTGTTTCCCTTTCACTCCGTCAATTCAGTATACCTTTGTCTGAACACATTTAGAAAAAAATATCTGAATGGCTACAAAAGAGCATCACACATGTATTTTCAGGTTTCTTTTTAAAGAAAAGGGTGCATATTACACGGCAAATATACCTAAAAAATTAATTATTGCATTATTGTTATTAAATGTATTATTGAGTCGTAAGGGAAGCTTTTCTCATCTGTCAGGAATTTGTGAAGGAATGAAATCTGCTTCGTATCCATTTGTCCCACTGCTTTTCTAGTTTATGCTTGAAAATTCTATTGATGCTTAGAAGATGAATGGGAACATTGATTTTTTTTTTTAATTAAAACAAATAACTTAGAAAAGATGCTAAAGAGAAGAGAATTGATCTTAATTTAGATCTGGTTAAGATATCTGACAAATGTTTATGTTAAAAAGGAGCATAAATTTTTTTTTGTGTGTTGTTGCATGTTTTGTAGCTTTTAACATATAATTATCCATTTTAGAATCAATATCAATTGTTGTAAAATTTCTTGGACTGTGCTTTTAATAATGCTTTTTAATGGATATATTTTAGAAATTAAAAAAAAATTTAATCTTATATGACTAAGCGTATTTAACTACATAATTTAATTATTTGTGACTAACTGCTCACCCTTAGAAGTTATCTCTACATGCTAAGGTGAGTTATCTACTTTCCTTAGTCCTTATTGTGGCTTCAAAATGCAACACAAAAATGGGAAAAAAAAAAAAAAAAAAAACAAAAAAAAAAAAACGTAGAACTTTGTTTCTTACAGCAAATGAGACTGGAAATAATACAAAGTAACTTAGCATCTCCTGGTGCTTCAACGATCTAGTGGAACTTTATGTTAAATATTGTATATTAATTGGGTTACAGCTGTAGCAGATGTATACTAAGCTATGACACTGACTGGCTCAGACAAAGTGTATCAAATATTCAACACTTACCTTCAATGGCAAACATTCATGTTTGTTCTGATCAACATATCTCTCTTAAACAAGCAACTGCAGTGGCAACAGCCAGGCTTCTGTTCTGAATCATGCTGATTATTATTTTACTTTCCAATATAACCTGTGCTGCTTGACATAACATCTGCATAAACCTCTGACGAGTACATAATGAAATGAGGCATAAAAGAATCAATATAGAGCTGTTAGTAAAATTTAAGTAAAGTGTCACTAACCTTTACTTAAATTTAACCTTTACTTTTATTTAAAATATGTGGGGCTATAAGTGTAAAATTTAAATTTTTCAAAAATTTTTTTAAAATTTTAATTGCTTGAAAACATTTATGATGTTGATTTTACTCTCAAATTTGTTTTATAATTAAGTTAAATATTAGGTTATGTTCAATAAGGCATTGTATTTACAGATCGATTTTATTCTTAGAATGGTATTAGAAAAGTGGAGTTAGGGTATAAATAATTACTTTAGTTTATTTAATTCCTTTTTGCTGTCAAATCCTTAATATTTTTCATTAATGTTCTTTAAAAGTACTTAACTTCCATATGCAGGAGCATGTACAAACTCTTATAACATAATTTTTATACTTTCAAATGAAATTTGCCACTTACATACTATGTTACTATAGTTTATAAGTAATATTTGTTTATTACAGTACTTGACTGCAGCTTTCTAGTCAGAAGCTACTATATTTATTTGCATATTTTTACCCTTAGCTTTAAGCACCTGGCTCTGAAAAAATATTCAGATAATTGTCCGCTTACTCAATGTGTTCAGAGAATAAACTTCTGTAAATTTTTAATTGGATTTGTTTGCATGGTGATAGTTTTTATCTTACCAACTAAGACCAACCTTTGCAGGCTACTTGTGAAGGTCATATTGAACTTTTCCATTTTAATTGTTGAACTTTATGGCGGACTAATACAAGTCTCATAGAGAAACTAAAATGAACTGACAATTCAGTTTATGATTTCATTGTGTCTTATACATTTCAGTGTATGAGTCAGCTGAACATGTTCATCTTCTCTATCTATTTATGGATGATTTGAGGCCTAAGGAGTAACAGAGATAATAATAAGAACAGGTGAAATTAAAGTTACAGGGAAGTAGAAATGAAACTGTGTTGTTATCAGATATTGTAATGTTAATATTACTATGTATTCTAATGCAGGTTTTTTTCTTTTAAAGAAATAATGTTGTGATATTTGATTGTAGATTTTCCATAATTATTTTCATTTGTTTTGGTCTTACTATAACTGCAACCTTCGAAAATTAAATTATTCACGTAATTTTGCCCTGGTGCTAAAAATTGCCCGAAAAAGAGGGTTAATATATGAGAAAATATGGTACATAATTGGCCAAATCTAATTTTAGCTTGACATAAATTATAACAAAGTTTGAACGTTTCAAGAGGAAGAAATGTGGTCTGTTGTGTTCTGGAACATGTAATTTTATTATCAACTGACAAGCTACAGGAATTATTTACTTCTGAAAATGAGACTGTCTTTTCATTTCTTAGAATATTATATAAATTTATATGTTAATCATACATGTGTTTTACAGTTATTGTACAGCTTTTAAACTGATATGGAGTACAGCATAAATCTATTCTATTTTTTGTAGGAAAAGAGGCATCTGATGAATAGTGGTGAACGAACACAACTTCAGAAAGTTCTCGACACACTGCAAAAATCTATAAAAGGTACTTTTTTTATTTTGCATTCTTGTATTTTTCAAAGTACTTAGTCTGCTGTTCTTTAATTATTTTCTTCATTTTTAGTGACATCGCTACAGTCTATGGTTGAAAGGCTGGATAGTATAACTCGGCAGCAAGGGCAAGTAAATTTTTAATTTCAAAGATTATGTGTATTGAGTATAATTAGTTATTGTTTATTTAGTGCAGTAAAACAAAATGTGGTGAAATGGTGTGGATTGAATTTTTTCTTAATTTATTAACTTTGTTTAAAATTTAATATGTTAGTAAGCTAAATATTTATATATGCCAAAGAATTTTAAGTCAAATTATATTTTTACATATGTGTAGACTAATTTGTATGGGAATAGCATAAATATTTGTGTAAGAACATAAAAGTTTATCTGCAACTGCAGATTAAAAATATTCATTAATATTCAGCTGAATATGGCTTGTATTTAAGTGAGATGATGCAGCTTGAAAGAGAGCTTGTTAAAAAGTTTTATTTGATTATGTCCAACTTCCATTCAAAATGAAAAGCCAGCTTCAGATAGCTATTTGAGTTCTCAGTTCCACACATGCAAATCTGTTAGAACTGTGTACTGTAATTTCCACTGAAAACTCAGCACTAAAGCTAGAGGCACTTGCCTAGAGGATCATGGGGGTTTCATCAGAGCTTCGGTATACATGTATCATCAATAAAACACTTTGGATGATCTGAAGATAATACAGTACGGTAACTTTTAATTCTGCAATGCAGTCATAGGTATTTTGCATAAGATTTAAAAGAGTTTATAAGGTATTTCTCCTGCCTTGTTTGCTCATCAAATTAATGTATACGTCATGGGCAGAGGAGACTGCATTCAGCATTTTTGAAAATTCCATTGAGAACCTGATGTAACTGCTATATTTTATAGTTCATAACATTTAAAAAAAAATAAATTGGATAAGATTTTAAAGATATGCCATATCTAAGAATTGTGTGAGAGAGAGATGCATTTTGGGATTGTTAGAAAGGCTATTCAAATATTGTAATTGATTGCATTATAAAGTGTGTACTTAATAAAAAAAAGGTAATTTATTCATGCTTATAAAAAAATGTATTACACAACTTTTTTCCCTTGTGATCTTTAGATTTATCGAGATATAAATACAGTAGAGTTCTGAAAACTCGGCCGAATTTGTGAAAATGCCAGGTTATTAGGAAAGGTTTTAAAATATAAACAAACAACTAAAAAAAGGAAAAGTGTTTACTTAGAAAATATAGTACTTGTATGTATTGGTTGCTTACCAACAATTCAATATTCTAACTCAAACTACCAAAATACCCTTAAACAAAGAAAAAATACTTTAGAAGGCATAGAGCCTTTACTAATGAAAATTCATGAATACATACTGTACAGTAATTTACCTGATAAGGCAGACCTCAGAAAAATACCGTATGAAGACATGAAGCTGTCTAATGAAAACTAACTAGCGAACTTTGCAAAAACTGGCTAAAGAAATTCTTGGCATCTGCCACCCATCCAACTACATCTAATAGATAAAAATTTTTTCTTAAGTTCTATATAAGACTTTGTGATATCATTTGCTGAAAGAAGAGAGGATAACAGCTTATGCCTATACTCCTTCTCCTGAGACTAACCACCTTGGTCCATTGGCTGGCATAATGCTGTAACATTGGGTGGCAAAAAAATTGCTCATATGTCCCAATTTTTTAAGTCTTCGATGTCTGGGTGCGAAGATGCTTGGCAAGTTTTTAAAAACCACTCAACCAATGGAACAAACACTTCATGGAACCATTTTTTGAAAATTGCACAGTGCATCCAGGCATTTGAATGGTTTAGTTACCAAATGGAAAGTTCATTCATTCAATGTACTTTAATGCACATGGTTTCTTTGATTTTTCTATGACACCCAAGTTTTAATTTGTGGTCACCTGTTGCATTAATGTATGCTAGGATTGTTATCATCTCCTTGCTCCTTTTAAAACCAGGGGCTAACTGTTCTTCCTTGAAAGCTAGTCTTTTCGCTGGTAACAGTTTATAATTTAACCTTGTTTCATCATAATTGTATAATTGCTCTGCAGTCAAACCTTCAACTTCGATAAATTTCTGAAAGTTTTTCTTAAACTGAGATATGCCTTCCATGTCCACAGACAGTTTTTTTCACACGAATATTAATCTGTCGCACTCCATATCATGTCTTACCTTGATCAAGGCCAGCCAATGTTTGCGACAAATATAGGATCATTGTCTTTTTTTTTTAATTCTTCATAAAATTTCAAGGCCTTCTGTTGCAAAATTGGCCCACTAATTGGTGTGCCCTTCTCTCTCGTTTGGTGAAACCAAATAAAGAGTGCTTCATTTACCTCATTAAATTCACTGTCCTTCATACTTTTCCTTTCTTTCAATGCTTCTGTACACATTCTCTTAAAACACTACGATTCAATTTCCTTCTGCTGCTTCCAGTCTCCAGTCATACTTTTGCTGACTCCTAAGTCCTTAGCCACTGCACTAATACTTTCTCCCTTATCCAGTCTCTATACTGTCCCCAACTTTTGCTCCATAGACAAGTACACTTCTTTTCTTTTAACAAAGAAACTTCTTTTCTTTTCTTTTAACTTTCTTAAAACTTACCATCGCAAAGTACTGTCTAGCACCCACAAACTTTGAAACAGCTCTGAACAATACAGTATGGCTGGTTGAATTTCCTGTACCACCATTAGAGGCTTAACAGGGCTTAGTCGAGCTCTTTAGTTAAAGAAACATTGAGATCTAAAACAAGGCCTAAATCAGGCCCATTAAGTTGTAGGACTACCGCCTTACTACCTGAAATAACTTAAAATAGAATAAACAACTAAAATACGATACATAATATGAATAATACAAATTAATGCAACAGGTGAGCTGGTGAGATTTACCAGCTATACCAACAAAAGCACATTATTGCATACTTTGTAAAAATTTAGTCACTGTATTTTTACCCTTTAGAGTATTAAATTTAGCAATATTTGGAATAAATCTTAGAACAATATTTTTCATAGAAGAGCATCTAAACAACAGGTGTTCAATATCGACGTTACTCATGCCAAATGGACAGGCACAATTTTTAATCGAAAACCTATTATAATAAAAGGGAAAGTGTCCATGATTAGTTAAAGCTTGGTTTAGATACTTGTCACTTAGGCATCTTTTCTCACTTACAATTGAGATTAAATTATAAGTGAATCTTCCTTTAGAATCTGGGTCATTCCATTTTGCTTGCCATAGAATCAAACTTTTTCTTTTCAACAAGGATTTCAAACTGTCAAAGTAAGTCTTTACTAAAAAATCAATAATTTGATTTTCAGTGGCAGCTTTTGCCAATCTATCTGCTAACTCGTTACCAATGGTACCAATATGACTTTTCGTCCAAAAGCGTTTAACATCTCTGAAAGCGCTAAGATAAAAAAGCATGTCTTTTATTTGTTTAATTAGATTGTTACTTGGACAAACACCCGCAATTGAAACAATTGCACTTTCGCAGTCACTATAGATTTCCACAGGATCTATTGCAGAATTAGAAATAAGCCAATTCAAGGTCTCTCGCAGGGCCACTAACACTGCCTGATAGACATTGTCAGAAAGTCTATATTTCCTTGTAAGCTTAATAACCCATCTGAAAACATACAAAAGGCTGCCCCCACATGACCATTTAATTTAGATTCATCTGTAAAAATCGTGTAGCCTGCCATATTGGGAAGGCCTTTATGCCAATTCAACCGTTTCAACAAAGTTCTAACCGTTCTAAACCTTTTTCAAAGTCAAAATCTTTAGCTGAGAAGATCTCACTGAAACAATCGACAGTTTTATTACCAGCTTTTAATTTAAAAATAGCATATTTTTTTCCCGCCAAAATATCGATCGGAGGGCATCCAGCCAAAATCTGAAGAGCTACTCTGTGGAAACAGTTCTAAAACACTTAGTAATCCTCAGTAAAGCGATTCTTTGAATTTGCAAAATTTTGTTATGCATTCAGACTGTTCCAGTCCACCATGTGCCACATGCATACAAGATCTTTCTCTCAATAGCTCTTTTATAAACTCTTAAGAACTTTACCTTGGAGATTCATTTTACTAAGTCTATTAAGAATATGGGTGCATTCGATCTGTATTTAATCTAGGTGAGGCATAAAAGTGAGCTTTTCATTGACCGTAATGCCCAAATATTTGATATTCTATGAAACTCTAATTGGTTGTCATACAGTTTGCACCTAGGATGTATTGATCTAGTATTAGTTTTGACAATACCCAAAAGAAAGGTCTTCTTTGGATCAAATTTGAGTTTAACATGGAAAGACCACTTCTCCAATTCTTGAGTGGCGAAACTTAAAGCTTTATCAATAGTATGGCAACCACTTCCCATGGCCAATAAAACAAATCGTCAGCATAATTACAATACAGTATAGTCACTCACGTTGAATTACGCAACATGGCTAAGAAATCAACTAACCCTGGCAAAGCTGCAAGTAGACTGAACACGCGCCAGCGCCAGTCACATGTTGAAGGAGTGGGGGTGTGACGCGAGACAAGGGAACATAGGAAGAAGGGGACACATGCACCTGGGCAATGACTTTAAATGGGTCTCCGATCGTGTGTTTTTTTTACCTGTCTGGGCGTGGCCAGGTTATAGAGTACCGAATTTTCAGGGTTCTATTTATTTTCTCCTTTCTATTATTAAAGAAGAGTTTCCACACATCTGCATATTAAAAAGGATGCATTGCTGACCAGTGGTTACAAAATTAAGTTGAAACCTTTTTCATTGAATCTGAAAAGACATTAAAAAATTGACTATATAGAATCCTAATCATTCTTAGTATGTTTTAAATTGTATAAAATATCTTAAGATCAGGTAATACATAATGTAAAATTTTTTATATAGATGTTGTTTGGCATATATGAAGTTAATTCAGTTATGCATATTTGTATATTAGAATGATTTAGGAATTAGACAAAAAGTTGTGTTAGTTACAGAAATAAAAATTAAAAAAAAAGTCTGAAAATAGTGTAACATATATATATATATATTGGCTTCAACACTTTTCTGCATTATTTATGATATTAAAATGTTTTCTTCCTTTACAGGCTGAAATTTACTTCTGGACCTCCAAATACTGAATGTTACATTTTTTCTGATATGTTTTATGTGGAAATTTTGTTAGAGACAACTGGTGAAGTGAAGGATGTAAAAATTGCTCATCAAGGAGATCCTGTGGTAATTTTCTTTTGTAGTATAATATATTATGTAAAAATATTTTTACGTCTAGGAATTATTTGTGTAAACAAACTAATTCAGTTGGAAATATTACATTTAACAGGAAAACACAATTAATGCATTATAAATTATTTTATGTGTATGAAAATATATGAAATTTTTGAAGTTTTAAAAAATATCTTTGTTATTGATTTCATTATGAAGAACAGGAAAGAAAGATGCTACAGCATAAAAGGAACTCTACCATTTTAGTTACATAAATGAAACTCTTTTCTTGTCTGCCCAGACTAAAATGCGTAATATAGAACATATATATATACAGGTAGGCCTACTATGCAGCAGATACATTCCTTGAAAATACTGCATTGTGGGAAGTCTTGTTAGAGGAGACTCTAACTTAATACAGAAATTGAGATTCAGTTCTAAAAAACGAAAAACTGCCTTTATGGTGCAGTATTTTTATCTTTTTAATTTATGTACATAAAAACATTTCATAAAAAAACTTTGATAAAATTCAGCATCATATAAAAGCTAAGAAGATAATGATTTCAAGTCAAAATAATGAAAAAAAAAAAAAAAAAAAAAAAAAAAAAAAAAAAAAAAAAAAAAACATAATGCAGTGCTCACAAATTTATTCCTCAACGTCACTTATAGTTGTTTGAGAACGTATGAACTGGCCTTATTTCAAGATCTGAACTTATTTCATCGATAAGTTCTACTTGTAGGTTTAAGTTTTAAAATTACTTTATTCATATTCAGAATGTCTGCATAAGATTACAGTACTGAAAAAGCAAGCAAGCCACGGCTGTCGTGCAAACATGATGCACTCGGTCGCAAGGGAACAACAAGAATGAACCTGCATCAGTGGTAGTTCCTAGAATTATTGTCTAGGGGTAAGTTTCTGCTGGGATCTAGAGGAAGCGACCACACATTTCCTAAATTATGTTGTGAGAAAAATTTCTGTTTCTCCGAGTGCATTTGGAGTAAAATCACGTTATGATGGTACCGTGTTATGAGACGCCTAACTGTATATGCATTTTAGATAAAGGAAGTAGCAATGAAAATGGATATATAGAATGATTAAATTAGAATTAGAACTAAACAGGCAAAAAAGAAAATAAATAAATAATAATAAAATAAATAAATAAACAAATAAAAGAATTTTAATATGCCCAAAGGGGCATTTTTTTAATGTTTTGTGTAGTACCTTTATTTATTAAATATCATGTTCTTCGCACTTAACCATAAAATTCAGTTCAACAGCAATATACCAATAAAATTGTAAAATGAGCATAGCTTTAGAATTTTCAATACACAGTCTCGCTCGCTGGAGATAAAAAATGTTTCCCCCATACAGTGTTGTCATTGCTTGTTTTTGATTCATTGAGTTTGTTAACCAAAAATTTGTTAAAAGTTTTACAAAATATCGAATACATAATAAAACCAATTCCAAATTTGGACTTCCAAATGCCCGTGTTTGGGTGGAAACGTACGTTATTCAAAATTTGACGGCTCTACATACTGTTGTTTTATCACTATGTGAGAAACATGCATACATATATGCAGATTCTTCATTATTTAATTTCTTTAAATATAATACAGGGTGATAATATTTGGTGGCAACAGTTTGAAAAGTGTAACGGACATTCAAAGTGATTCGACGCAAAATCACAAAACGAAAACAATAGTCCTTCAGGGACAAAGTCCCTTGGACTAAATATATATATATATGTAATTAAGAGTCTTATCTTTTTTCTATGTCAATATGCTAGGGTTTAATAAATGTAGGCAAGATTTTCATATCAAGTCATACCCAACGTTGAGCATCTTTCTGAGAAAAGTCACAATCCTCTTCATTAGACATAATATCAAATTCTGAGGTGTCCGATCCTGAAGATGACGGAAAGTAATCATCTATATCACTGTCAGACATACTCATAAAAAAAAAAAAAAAAAAAAAAAAGCACCTACTACAAATAATAAACGAAAATGGAAGACACAGAATATATAAAAAAAAAATGCATTTTGCTCAAACAGAAACATGAGCAATAACCACACAGTTATTCATTTAACCATTTCAGAAACATCCCCCTCTTCTCTGAAATAATATCCTCCTTTGCATAATCTGTCAAGGTCATTTTAGGGTTGCATTCCAAATCTTTGTGAATAAGTTTACTGGTAGCAGCGCAAAGCAAATGATAGTATTTCAGAAGAGTGTATATAAATGCCCAGGGCAGCTAACACATCAGCTAAGCAAGGTGTATATATATGCCAGTTAAGGAGTTAAATTTAATCTAATATGTTTTTTTTTTTTCAAGTATACTATTTACACCAGTTTCAATTACTTAAGAAGTTCTTAATAAACTTTATGAGTTAATATTTTTTCTCTGTTTGTATATTTTTTTGTCTGTTTAGTACTAATTCTAATTTAAACAATTTAAAAAATAAAATCTTAGCAGTGATTAGCACAGAATATGTTTCTAAGTCGTTTTTGCATTATTCTCCATTTTAATTATTTATGTGCATATAGTAAGATATATGAAGAAGTTCAAAACTTAATCCGGTTGTGCATTAAACCACCAGCAGCAACAAGTGGTGATAATAATGGGAAAAAAATTGAAGCATTTAAAAATCCAGCTCATATTCAGTTTGAAACAAAGCATGTGCAATAGTAAAAAATAAATAAATAAAAGCACAGTGATATATTGCATGAAAATTGCAAAAATACTTTGAACCAAAAATGAATATAGTAATAAAAAATGGAAACGTATTTACATCTTTTTTGCATCATCATCGGAGAGTTGGTGCAACAAAAGAAGTAAATACTTCAGCCTGTTTCTGAACTGATACTGGCACAAATTGGAGATTAATAACAGAAAATTAATGAGAGTAATTCGAGTCTTTATAAGTCCATCTCCTACTGTCTGGTGTATGTAAAGCAAAAATTGCAAAATTACAACATTGAAATCATAATTGAACTTCAAAAAGAATTTTGAGTAGACCAAGTGTAGTAAACAAATCCATGTAAACGCTAGTAATTCCATTCTACACATGAAAAATTGTACAAAAAACAGAAAAAAAGAAGAGATAGTTGTCAAAACTGTAACAATAGAGCAACAATTGTGTTGAAATAAAAAAATAATTAATTCTCAGATTGCCCACATCCAATATTATTTACTCTTGGTTTTCCTTTTGCAATTTATTCATTTTTTTACACCAGTGATGCCCAACCTTTGTTCTAGCGAGCATATTTTGGCCTATCGCGAGCACATTTCCAAAACATCAACATTTTTGTTAATCATATTTCCAATCTTATGTGATTCATCTGAAATATTAATTTCGGCAAGTGGGTTTGAGATTAATAATAATAATATTGGATGAACTTTATGGAAATCAGAGAAACGGAGTTCAAAATTATTTTTCAGTGCATTTAAGTTTTCCCAGTATTTCTCTGTTTCAATTGCCTTGTGGTTATTGATATGGCTTGATAAATTCTGAAAAATGGGTGGGGTGAAATTCTTTTCTTTCATCTGATTTATCTACAAATTTAACTTTATCTGAAAAGCAGTTACAGTCCCAGTCAATTGAAAAAGTGTTTTTTCTTTTCCCTGGAGATCTTTGTTCAGTTTAGCTGTTCTATCTGTGAGAAAATACAGATCGGATAACTAATTATTATCATCCAATTCTTTATAACTTTTGTTTCCAGGATTCCAAAAACTGCTTTATTGGCAAAAGAAATTCTACAAACCGTTGAAGTACTTTTTCCCTGCTGAGCCATCTAAACATCGGAATGAAGCAATAAGATACCATGTTCGCTATCAAGTTCATAAGTCAGCAATCAGTTATTTTATAACGTCTTGCAAGATATCTCTTGACTATAAATGCTTACCATATTTTAACAATTAAGAAATATAAATGAATGGTTATTTTAAAAATATTTTTTGTTCGTAGTACCTAATCAGGCTCGTGAGCACAAGGTTTGGCACCGCTGTTTTAAACAGTGTTTAATGGTGCATTGGAAGTTTTTTCTAATTATTTTTACATTATTAATTAGTTCAAAACTTGATATTAATTTTTATTGCTTAGCTCATGTTAGGGTTTACACCAGTTTATCCTACTAGTCATGTTGGATTAAAATATTTTCAAAACACTTGTTGTTTCACCATTACAATTTACTAACTCTTCTTTTATATATATATATATATATAAATTTTTCATGTGTTGTATTATACTGGACTGATAAAAGCGTAACTTTTTTAAATTAATTTTCTGATGTTAAACTCTTAATTTATAATTTGTGTCATTATCAGTTCAGAAGCTGGCTGATTTGTTTACTTCTTTCCTTGCACTAACCTGCTTTTTTCTTCTTCTATTGCTATTTTCAGTTTGGTTTAAATTAATTTTTCCACTTTTTATGCAATTGTCAATGCACTTCTGGTTTTATTATTGTATATGGTTTGTTCCAGGTTGAATATGGAATGTATTTTAAATGTTTTAACACTTTTGTATTACATATATATATATGTGTGTGTGTGTATGGGTGTTCGGAAGGGCAGAAGTTCAGTAGCCAAAGATCCAAGGACTTGGACGGCTATTTGTAGAAATAATCTGAACTTTGGGGGAATTGGTCGTGGAAGCAGCATCATGACAGTGTTCCAGCTTACGCATCACTCTATGTTACTAATTATGTGATAGGAAATCCTTGGCTGGTACTCAGGCATCAACTTCTAGAATTTTTACCTGTTTGTGCTGTTTTGCTCTGTGGCCATTGGCAGTAAATAAGAAATAGGCGATATTGCACAACTGAGAATAAATCTGAGTTAGACAAACATGCAAGCATAAACCTCGAATTATAGCATATCAAATTCTTCGGTAGTTAAGAAATGGAAGAAAAAACATTGAGCTGGTGAGAGTGAAGGTAATGATTAGCAATTTGCAAGAAGTCAAGTCTTGAAATGCATTAGATTCTATTTTGGATTGCTAATTATATGACAAAACAAAGCACTTCTATTGTGCTCCACTCGCCCTTTTCTTTGGACTTGGCCCCAACAGACTTTTTCTCTTTCCCAAACATAAAACCACCTTGAAGTAATGTCATTTCCACTCCATAGAGGAAATTTTTTAAAAAAAAGTATGATGAGTACTGCATGCAGTCAATAAAAATTTATTTCCAACAGGCATTCCAAAAGTATAGAAGAAACAATGGGAACTGTGTATTTAAACTAGAAGGGAGTACTTTGAAAGGAATAGTGGGTGAAAGTTTGTATAAATAGTAATAAAGCAAGAACAGCAAAAGTTCAGCAGTTTTTTTAACAGTCCTTGTAAGCCTGCCATAACTAAAGTTTCAAGGGTTGCTGATCTTAGCCCAATCTACCAGACTGATTGCCTAATTTGTCTTTTGTAAAGTGCATTTATCGTGCATGGGTAAGTACTTGAAAGCACTTACTTCTCCAGTTCAAAATGTACAAGAATTAGTTAAGCAAGTTCTACAGATGTGGAGTGCAACATAAATGGCATTTGTAATTTGTTTAATTATTCACTACATACTTTGAAGAACCAAAACATTATGACCACCTGCTCAATAACGCATTGTGCGAACTCTGACCAGCAAAACAGCTACAACTCGCCTTGGCATGGATGCCACAAGTTCTTGTTAGATAACTGAAACAGGTTGTACCAAATGTCTAAGCAGTAGTTACATAAATTCAAGATATTCCTACATCATGGTGTTTGAACTCTGAGCTGCCATTCCATGACATCACAAATATGCTGTATCTGTTAAGACCTGTTGAGTTAGGTGGCCAGGACATTAATTGGAATTCATCCTTATGCTCCTTGAACCACTCCAGCACAGTTCAAGCCTTGTGACATGGGTATTGTCCTGCTGGAAGATTTCATTTTCAGTTGGGAAGACAGATGCCATGCAAGTGTGCAACGTATCCGCAGTTATGTTCAGGGATGTCTGCAGCTTTAATGGTCTGTTTTACAACAACTAAGGGTTCCAGAGTCACCCGTGAGAAAGTTTTCCAAAGCATAATACCGTCACCACCAGTCTGTTTACGACCTGCAAGCGACCTTACGGGGAGGGGCAACTTTATGCTTGGAAGACAGTTTACCCTGATGCGACCATCGGTGTGATGAATGAGAACTCGTGATTCATTTGAACAGGCCACTGTCTTCCATTTGTCCATAGTCCAGTCTCGATGTTTTCAGGCCCACTGTAGGTGTAGCTGACAATGATGCTTGGTCAACAGAGGCACGTGAGTGGGATGTCTGCTGCACAGTCCCATACCCAACAGCGTCTGCTGAACTTTGTGTTCCGAAACATGTGCATTTGGAGCATCTGTCAGCTGAGCCTCTGTCTAGCTCCAATTTTGCTGTACCAAGCGGGACATTCTCCGACATCCTTTGATGACGTGTGGATGTCCATCACCTTGGTGTCTGCTTCTGGTTTCCCCATCATTTATCCACTTTGCATATATACTAACAACAGCAGATTGTGAACAACGAACCTGTCGTGCAGTTTCGGAGACAGTTGTTCTGAGTCGGGCCATTACAATCTGTTCTATGTCAAATTCACTTAGATAAGCAGCCTTTCCCATCGCTCACAAAAATAAGTCCAAGAATGATTCCTAATCTTGTCAGCAACAGTTAAATATCATTCTCACTTAATCACATACATGCCTTTCACTTCTTCGATCCAGATGAGTTCATTGAAAAATGTGGGGATGGTCATAATATTTTGGCTTTGTCAGCGTAGATAATGTAAGTATCTATTATTGCCAGATGAGAATATATATCATATTAATTTTTCTTAACATTTTTAATTAGTTCCCAAAGATACCAAAACCATATTATTTCGATTTTTATGTTTCTATTACGTGTTCAGTGAATAGAATCAAAATCAAACATCTTATGGTGATATTTTGTCAGTTTTATAAAAAAAAATATCAATGTTTTCTAGAAAGGCTTGTTTTGTTTTTTTTAAGTGTTCCAAGAATATGATGTTTATTTTTATTTAAAATAGTAATTTGTCTTACTATTTTTATAATATATATATAAATTCAAAAGTAATGTAGTTATAATAAAAAATCTCTAATTTTATTATTTTTTTCTGAATTTTTAAAGATGAATATTTGAAATATGAATAATATGTTGATTAAATTGTAATTGTATTACATCTTACTAATTAATTACTCATAAAGAAAACTATTTTTTAGACTTGCCCTGAGCTTGTTAAAGTACTGAGGTGAGTTTTTTTTTTATATAACTATCAAATCAGTATGTTATTTTATTATTATTAATTTGTTATTGATTTGCCATATCTGGAGTTTAAAAAATAATCCTATTCCCCCTTTTTTTAAAAAACGTTTTCTGAATAATTTTTTAACAAATTTAATGAGTGTATTACCTTATTGAATATGTTAGCAGGCATAATTTGTTAAAATTTATTAAATATACTGTAGAACAAGGTGCATGAATTTTAGTTTTAAATTTAATTCCTCATTTGATATGTTAATGCTAAACTGTTTGATGCAACATATATCAAATGGCAATCCTAAAACATCTCTTACTTATTCATTAAATCTTTCTATTGCTGATGAAGGAATTATTTCACTTTAACTATCACTCATTTAATATAGATACAGTTTACTATGCATGATTTGATAATTGTATAATATAAAAATGTTCAAATCAGGGATTTCTAACACTTTTCTTGCATCGATCCCTTTTAAAAGAATGGTTTTCTTAATGAAACCCCTTATGATTTTCTCTATAATAAGCAGCATACAATATAATCTTAATACAAATGATTTTACATAAATAACATATGAAGAATATAAACAAAAGTTTTGCAGGAAAAATTATTTATTAGATTTATGGTTTATTATTTTTAATTTTAAATATATAAAGAAGTTTTCCACAAAATCAGATTCTAATGCACTAAAGCTCAATTTTAATTAATGTGATGGCTGCATTTGATGTATTGATACAATTTTTTTAAATATTTTGTATGAAATTACTTAATGTCATTCTTAAATCACCTTGATCATATTCAACCTGTTTCCTATTTTCCTTAGTAAATTATCAATATGCTTAACGAATGCTTCCACTAGGTAAGAAAGAGAAACGTTAGTAACATTGGTTCTGTAACAACTTGACCAGAATATATCTTAATAAGTTTTAGTGGCTGACAAGAGTGAAAGAATAGCATAGATTTTGCTGTGGTTTATTCTGTTTTCATTTTTGTATATTTTCTTCTTTATATTTAGTTTGATTTCTTCATTGCATGGTATAGCTTTATATCAGAAAACAATTCATCATTAATTTTATTAACACATTTATTCAAAATCAATTATGCCAGTCATTTGCCAGTATGCATTTTGGCTAATAATCCCTAAATGATCCCTTGATCACTCCTTAGAATTTCATCAACTTACAGGGCTCAATGCCAACCTTTTTGGAAACTACCGAATTAAATAAAGCATGAAATGTAGAATTTATGTGAAAGTTAGTTAACTCTAACAAAACAGTACCATTCTTCTTCATTTTTCCTGAGTTGTACAGCCTGTTACTGGCCAAGGCTGTGTCACCAATTTTTCTTCAGCAAATCCTATTTGTCACCACAGCTTCCTATTGGTTTACCCCTATCAGTTTCAAATTCTTTTCCACATTATCCTACCTTCTAGTGGGTTTTCTTCCTTTTCCTCTGTTTTTGAGTTGGAAATGCATTATCATATGTACTGGTGTGGCATAACAATAAAATGATAATAATTAGGATGAATGTAATATTTTGATGCACAGCATGTCATTGTTAAGGGCTATCAGTGTGAGTTTATTTTGTTATGACTTGAGATTTTAAAGGGCTCATGTTTACTATTTCATTGAACTATTAAATAATCAATTCGAGGTAATAACCTACATTCTTGGCAGCCTTTAAAGTGATTTTTGGTACTTTATCTAAACCTCCACTGCAAACGTAGTGGCAAGGTCAATGAGAAATGTTTTTTCCACAACAGTGGCATAGCGCTAGAAATTCCATAAAAGAGCAGTCATTCAATAACATTTAAAAAGCAAGAAATGTTAGAAATAAAACACTTAGCTTTTTTTTAGAAATCTTCCTGTATGTTTTTCTTTTCTTTTCTTTTTTTTTTTTTTTTTTTTTTTTTAAATGCTTTTTTTTCCATGTTCACAGCAGTATGTTTTCGTTTTAAAAAAAATCGGACAGTTGCATTAAACTCAACATTTTGCACTACCTCGGCTTTGTGCTGTAGCCAAAACAGACGTGTGCTATGCAGATACTTAGTTTGGCACAATGTTTTCTGGTAACATCATGGTTTGCCATATAACTATTTTGGCAACAAACTGTGCTACCACGTGAATAATTTTTCATGCTGCCCAACTGGAATAGTGGTTAGTGACTCTGACTGCCATACTGAAGGGCCCCTGTTCGAATTTCTGAAAAGGCAAGGATGTCTGGGGGGCATCAGGGCACTCAAAATATGCGGCGAAGTGAAAGCCCTCTTGTTCTGGTAGGGAAAGAGAGGTGGGAGACCCTTAGAGTAGTCCCCCTGGAGTGCTCTCCTTCAACATTGGAGGGGGGCAGAAATAAACAAAGTTGTACTATTACCTGTATGGTTCGCAAGGCTCTTGCCAGCAATAGGCGAAATCTTGCCTTTTTGCCCCGATGAATTTCGTGGGATTCTTCTTTTGTAAAAACAAGTGAGATTGGCAATAACATAATTTGCCACAAGTTTTTGATGGGGTTTGAATAATCAAAAGTACCTGATTTTGCTTTGACACATTAAATAATAATTTAAAATAAAAAACTCCTGAAATTTGATCTGGATTGTTCCCTGTAGTTGTAGTCATTACTTCTCAAAATTACTGGCAGTAATAAATTTTCACCAACTGTATGTGGATATGTTTCTTTTGCAATTAAACAGAAAATGGTGCATAAAGCTTTCCATTCTTTTCCGTAATTCTTAGATGTTAATGGTGTGAAAAAGAATTTAATTCCTGTCTTTGATTGCATTAAAAATTCATCATCAAGATTTTTAAAGTATAACTGTTTTCTTCTTTATCTAAATGCATTCTTCTTAAATGGTCTTTCATTTTTAATGGTTTCATTGCATTGTGAAAAGTTTTTTCACAAATGAGATATAAGGTGATACTGTGTTTGCTGATGACAAAATAAAGCTGAGCATTAAATGTTCTTTAGAATATTATTGGCATTTTCTTTTTTCATATGCTGTTAATATCTGAGAACTCTTGAATTTACATGCGAGTTCATGTTTATCAAAACTGCTGACAACTGCAAATATATTGTGAATATAATTATACCACTGTTCTATGATCACTGATGTCCATTCTTAAGTGTACTTTTGTTTTATTAAGTAGCAGTTTCCGCAACAGATGTAGTAGAATGGTCAAAGTAAAGGTTCATGTTTTTTGCTGTGTTTGAGAATTAGTTAGCATGTAGGGTTGCTGTCATACCGATGATGTAATTGCCAAAAATTTCAGCAGCCGACAGTAATCATAGATTTTGCTGTGGTTCATTAGTTTTACATTTTACTTTTGTATTCTGCATTTATTGCTAAATTGCATAAATATAAGTAGAAAAATATATTATTGATTAGTAAAATTAGATTTGTATATTTTTTCTCTTTAGTATATATAATTTCTTTCTTATTTCATGATATAACTTTATAGCAATAAACAATTAATTATCAGTTTCATTTATATTTTTTGGTAAGCACTGTGATCTTGATTATGCTGATCAATTTCCAATGTGTGGTTAGCTATCTACCTCCATTTGACCGCTTAATCATCAATAAACCCTTTTAAATTTCATTGACACCTATGAATTCAGTACTAACCCCATTGAGATGCATATAAGCATTCTATACTGTGCTTGTGATTGGATATACTTTCAGGGGACATCATTTCGTCTTGCCGTAATGATGTTTAGCAGGGTTCTTACGGTTTTGTTTTCGTTGAATAACGCGAATGAGTGACACAGAAGCCTGAAAATTATTTTTTGTTTTCTTTGAAATGAAAAAATTTAGCTGTAGCATTCTGCAGCTGGTTTTCTGTTTCATGGAATAATTTTAAAAAATTATAAAATCTTTCAAAGATGCTATTAATGTCAGAAGCAGTCTTAGATTATATAAATATCTGAATAAATTTAGTGCAGAAACCAAAACACGACGATCTCGATCCACCGTAAAGGCATTGTGTGCTAGTAAGTATATTATTATTGCAGTTTTGTTGCATTCTGTTTCTTTGACATCGCAGAAAATATTTCCTTTGTAAATATTATGTTTTTTCCATGTTATTGCCCATGTCATTCTAATAATATTTATGTTGCCTTAAATGAAAGAAAAACATGCATTCAGTACTGTCGCTGAGTTTAATACACATGTATAAGAAAAGGAACTTCCTTCTCTGACAAACACTAATTTTATGTAAGTGTATAGAAGATGTTACACACAAAAAATGGGCAATATTCATAAAGTGATATTATTGAACTTAAAATATGTATTTCTATTTTTCTGTTCCAAATCTATATTAGTCTAACTTCAAAAATAAATTACTTTTTCAGACTGATTATAAATATTGTGAATTTATTGTGTACTTGTGTAATGTTAGCTTCAAACATCGCTTTTCCTATTTCTGAAAACTGATTTATCTCATACTTTAGCAGATTGCATCAGCAGAGAATGGATGTATAATGAATGTAAAATAATTAATAATTACTACACCTTTACTATGAAGTGTTTTAAATGAAGAATACATTTATTAAAAATCTCTGCACTTAATACACATTTACAAAGTTAGCACAAGAAGAAATAATACTTTTTCTCTCTAGGGGAAAAAATCGCTGCATTTTTTTGTATTAAATTCATCACACTACAGTATTGTAAGAAGTATAATCTCATAGCAACAGAAAAACAGAAACACATTGCATGTAATAAACTTTTCGGTACTGCTATCAAAATGTAAATAAATGGTATAACAGCCTCGAGCCCAAGCAATGTCAAGGCATTCCTATGCATAGAGGAAATGTCATTGGATGCCATATCCAACCACAATGAGATATTTTTCTCTATATGTGTGGTGCGGTACAGAATGCTTGTATGTCTTTGGGATCGTCCGATTTAAATGTAATTAAAATCTGTTTAATTTATGATGTATCCATTTGATAATTTTGAGACTTATAACATTATTGTAATTAATAAAAGAAACTTCTAATGCTGCATATAAGTACAAAATATTTCTGTTTCTTTAAAATTTATTTTTGATATAACCTGTATTTGTAGGAGTGGAAATTTCACAGAATTTACTAAGCATTTAGAAGGGTTAGCTTCTATTTATCAATTAAATGCAGAAAAGTAAGTATATATATATATTTTTTTCCTTTTTTAGTAAGCAAAAATCTTAGTTGTGTTTTATTTCTAAAATACTCTTATGTTTTTAAATTTTCGTTTGTGTTAATTACTATAATCTTTTTAGAACTGGTGTAATACTTTAGTGAGTATAGTTTAACTTTAGTACAGTTTGTGTGTATATAAATTTCAGTTCAATATTTTGATAGCAAAATTGCAATCTTGGAATAATGGTATTAATAAAATTCTTAGAAATGCATCTAGTTCATATTTATGTTTTATTCAGTTTTGATGTGTAATATTACTGATTTTATGAAGTTTGTATATTCCTTTTAATAAAATTAAAAATTATGCAAAAATGTATTTTATTTACATAGTTTTATTTTTTAAGTAAAATGTAAGCTGTACCATAACTGGCCATTAAAGATTCCTTAATAAATTGGGAAACTTATATATGAACTTAAATAATATGATTAATATATATTTCATCATTGGCTGATGATATTTCCTTTCTAATGTTATGCAGGTATCATTTGAATTGAAGTAGAAAATTATCTGTACTCTTGTTTTTTCTTATATAAAACGAGAGGAGAGAGCATATTATTCTATTATTTTTTAGAATATTCCCTTCTTTACTATCTACTTATACAAAAATTCTACGAGTTGAAACATTTCATCTTATTAATTGTTTTTTTGTTGTTGATGCAACCATGGAAGCAACATCTCTTGCATCTATTAATCTGAAGTGAACCATTAACCTCTTAAGGCAAATTTAAATGGGCCAAACTGATAAAAATTTAATAATGGGAAGTTTGGATTTTATGTGCTGTTCTCCTAAGCATTAGGTTTTAGTTGAAGAGTATCAGAAATTTGGTCTTCATTGAACTGTTTTAGAATCTGTCATGCAAACAGTTTAAAAAATCCAAGTATGTTATGTATAATATCATATTGCAAAACCATGGCTAATATAACACACATTTATCATGCTAGTGACTCATTTGTCACATGATCAATGATTATTCACGAGTTGCTGAAAATCATAATGCACACTTGTTTAATGTTGTCATTTGTATTAACAATGCTTATGTGTTCTATTCCTTCATTATGTGTGATACTTGTCCAGCCATTTTTGTGTATCTCAGCCCATTCCTAGGCAGTACGCCATGATAAAACATTTCCCCCTTACTGCACTAAGGTACTGTTTATGGATGTTTGTCCCAGGTATACCTACGAACTAAAGAAATGGTTCATCGCTTTTTCTTCTTCATTTGTGCAAGTAACAATGTTGCACTCATTTTTTTGTTTGAAGAATAACATATGAGCTATAGAGAAGTAGTTGTAATTAAAAAGTTTTATATATAGACAATCTCTAAGCATGTACACACACATATGTAGTGTGATGTAGAAAAGTTAATTACATAGATAGATGTTGAAGCACACATACAGAATCCATAATGAAGGGCAAATTTAACAACCATGTAGACACAGTAAGAAACAGTCATGGCAGATTTACATATTCATTTTTATTTTAATTCACATACATGGCCACAAATTGGCACACTAATTTTGCCTGTTTCAGAACATAACATTTAGATTTTTCATGTCGTTGCATTAATGAACAGAAGCAGCAAGAAGCACTCTAGCTTGGCCATGGGGCAAAAGTGAAGTGTGATGTGTTCAGGATGAAATCTTAATTCAAAGTGTGTTTCTTTTCTATTTCAATACATTTTGACTAAATCAATGAAGTTGTACAGTTAATATTAACTGTTTTGAGTTTTGGTTTACAAAACTATTTCCATCACAACCATTATGTAAAAGTCATTATTAATCTAGAAGTGATGCAGTCCAGATTGAATATTAGAATATCAATCTAGACTAAAATAGGAACAGATAGTTACTATTTTTAGGACAGAAGAAATACCAAATTAAAATGAAATAAAGGAGCCTTACCAATTAAAATCAGAAGTTTGGTGTACAAATTTTCATCTTGCATATACTTTTCCTTCAAAGTGAAAAAACTTAGCACCAAAAATGCCTTTTTGAAAGAGAAAGCCATAAAAGAACAAAATAAGAGAAATATATTATGAAAATTATGAAATTTTTACTAAATTTTTTAGTAATACAGAATAAAAATCTTCAGCACTGTATTTCTAAGAATAAATGCAATTTTTAGAGTCCTATTTTATCTGGACAACTGCCTTGAATTTTATCTGGAAAATGTTCTTGTTTCTCAAAAGTAATTCTTAAAGAATCCTATTATCAATATTTCAATCCAGTTGTAGAAAGTCCTTGATTTTAGCCCTTGATTTGTGAAGTCCACACGATGATCATGATTCTTCATTGAAGTTTTTTTCAGCATACGACAGCTTTACAAAAGACTGTTTATTTTATATGTTATATAATGTTATGTTTTTGTGTTACTTCTGATTTACGTTTTTATGTATCATTTTGTATGTTTAATATATGAGAGAATTAATGTACAAAATGATGGGGCTGATGAAACTTATTCTCGAGGAAGATAATTTTCTTGACCATTTTTAGCATTCAGTCGTAAGTGTTGTACAGGAATCATTATTCTCATTTGCTAATGCTCTAATGATTTTTTTTAAAAAAGTTTTTCTATTGGCAAGCCTTTTCCTCTTTGAAGGGGGTGGGAATTATAAGATAAAAACATGAAAATAAAATTCTGATTTTGATTTGCAGAAGTTTCTTTTATGTTTTAGTTTAATTTGGGTATTTCTAAAATAATATCTAATAATAATCTGAAATTTCTAAAAATAGTAACTATTTTTAATATATCAATCTAAACTGTGGCATTTCAAATTAATCCACATATAACACTGCTCTGAAAGTATCTTTTAGTGAATAAGATTTCAATTGGAACCAAAATCTTTTCGATTGTCTCCCATGCTTGTAGGCTCTTTCCTAGCTCCTTCCTAGCTTAAGATATAAACTTCCAAGAATGGGAAATGCAGATTGTGCTCATGATGATTTCATGAATCAGAATATGCATTTCAAGAATTGCTATATCCAGTAATAAAATTGTACTATATCTATAGCTATGTTCATCTTCAAGTTTCCCCCTCCTACTATGCAGTTAAACCAGTACAATCTATAACCATCAGCCATGATTGAAAGGTAGAGTTTTATAGTCTCAAATGCATCCTCAATACAACCAAATGCATTGCTGGCATTCTACCAAAACGCATAGAATCATCCAAAAGAGGTATTAGTCGCATGTGGCGAGGTGAGCGGTCGTGTGAAAATCCTTTGCTCACCATAAAAGGAAATGTGACCAAAGGAGAGAAAGTCCCCATTTTATCGGATGATACTGTCGTCAGTTGTCTTTCATGCGTTTGGTTCATATTTGCAGAAATAAATGCAAGATTCCCGTTGGTATGCAGTGTAGAAACCAAGAATGTTGAAATTTTTTTCATAATATATGAATTTTGTATGAACAAAGAATATTTCATTACTTACTTTTAAAGATAAGGTCATTAAAAATCATAGAATTATATTCTTTAGTGGAAGTATTCTTTCTGTAGTGGGAAAAAAGGAAATGGGTCAATAAGTTTCCATCCCATTTGAACAGAATTTGCCTAGATCGTAATTAATTTTAACATGAAATTAGCCAATGTAAGTGTGAGGGATAGTTTGTTTTTGTCATTAACGTGAGATAAATTGGTAAAAATGAGGTGTTTTACAGTGGTACTAAGAAATTGCTACATAATGTCATTTCCTTTTGTGACGTGAAAGCTGAGAATGGAGAAATTAGCATTCTCATTTCAAGGCTCATGAAAAGAGCCAGGGGTATCACTGTCAATAATAAACAAAATTTGTTAAAAGGTAGAAAGGGAGGAAGAGACAGTTTTCCATTCCCCCAAAAAACAGCTCCAAAAAAGTATTGGATAAGGTTGGGTTAAATGGTTTTGAATGTGATGCAGTAGGAAGAACTGTTCATGAATTTTATATTAAGGAGGAAAAAAATTCCATCACTTTCAAAGTTACTTTCTGTATTGCAAGAAAAAATAGATTTTAAATAAAAATGAGAAACCTTAAGAAATGTACTGCATAGTATTGGATGTGTATGGAAGAAAAGCCAAAATAAGAGACAAGTTTTAATTGAAAGAAGTGACATTATGTTTTGAAGAGTGCAGTAGCTTAGAAAAGTGAGGCAGTTTTGTCATGAGAAAAGGCCTCTCATTTACTTGGACGAAGCCTGGATGAGCAGCTGCATAACATTCTCAAAATGCTGGCAATCAGAAATAATTTTTGGTGTTAAGAAGAGTGGAAGTACGTCTAAAGATTGTTTTATGTGCTGGAGGCAATATGGGATTATTATGTCTTATATCTCTGGTATACAAAGCAAATACCCACATCGGGGAATTGTCATGGGCAAATGAATTCTTCTGTTTTTAAAAAATGGACTTCTGAAAATCTGATTCCGAATCTTCCACTAAATGCTGTAGTGATTTTAGACAATACCTCCTATCACACTGTCCAACTAAATAAAAGTTCAACTGTGACAAGCTGAAAAGAAGAAATTATACAATAGTTACTTAAGGACAATGTACCCCATTCTCTCCATATTTACAGAAAGTAGAGTTGATGGTGCTTGTGAAACAAAATGCTTCTCAAGAAAAGTCATATAAATTTGATTCAATGATTGAAGAACATGGTTTTATAGCTGTGTCTGCCCAGTACCACTGCATTATAAATGCAGTTTATTTCATTTGAGGTGAAATAAAGTGATTTGTTCAGAATGCAATAAAATGTCATTCGATGATATTCTTTTGTGATTTATTTACTAGTGTCTTTATTAAATTTGATGTGCCAAAAGAATTTTCACACAAGTAATTTATGTTTCCAAAGTGCAAAAATACATTAATAATATTATCATGAAGTTTATTTCCTTCAGAATCGTAATCTTGTAAAAACAATTCATTAAAGGGCAAATATTTTTCATTTTTAATTAATGCTAATATTATAAGTCAGCTAAATGCCAGTGCTGAAGCCTGCTAGTGTTTTCTGAAACATGCAATTTGTAAGATTCTGTATACTCTTCTGCTATGAGGACCAGGTTCAGAAATGTATCTATGTATGCATGTATCTATGTGTGTGTATACACACATAACATGCATATGTACATTTCTGAATCTTGTCCCCCGATAACAGAAGAATGCTAGATTCCGGGCAAAATGTTTCCCTTTTGAAAAATAAATTGTATCAGAAAACTTTTTTAAATGGTATTTTTAGTTATGCAAAAAAACGAACATATTACTCTACAATTTGTATAGATTCCCAATTTCTATATCAAATATCTATCTAGTTTCATCATACAGAAATCAAACTCTCTGTGCTGTATTTTTAGAATGAGTGCAATTTTTATTGAACTATAAGGACCAAAGGAACATGTAATGTGTTAGATTTAATATTTTTTTTTAAATTTAAGAATGTTAAAATATGAAGAAGGACTTTTATGGAGACAGTGTGTAATCACATGCAATATTTAATAATGTGCAGTGTAAGATTAAAAAAATGTGTAAAGCGAACTTCTAATTTTAATTGGCAGTAACCTCTTTTGTTCTTCATTTTAATTTCAGTATTTCACTTTCTGTCCTAAAAATTTAATTGCTTGTAATATATCAATCTTACTTGTGTCATTTCAAATTAATCTATGTCATCTGATCTTACATAACGCTGCAATGCAGGTATGTTTTAACTATTAATGAATAAGATTTCAGTTAAAAGCAAAACTTTCAAAATTGAAACTATTTGACCCTCTTCCTGGTTTTCTTTTAAATATGTCATACTTTCCTACTTGCTTGCTTCCAAGTAACACATAGCAACTGACTTAACTGTATGACTTAACATTGTCTTAGGATGTGTTAAACTGCTAAAAATGTGGAGATGCATATTGTGCCCATAATGATGTGTGAATTGGAATATGGGGCTCAAGAATTGTTTTATCCAGTAATAGAATGTGCTGGATTTACAGCTGCATTTGCCTCCAAGTTTCTTAATTCTATCTGTACAATAAACCTCTCCAGTCAATTGTTTATATATATATTACGTATGTTTCACATAATATAATTATAGTGTAAGAGTTGAAATAATTTGTGAATTTTAAGTTATTTAATTAATACCATTTTTTCATTAAACTTCATGCTTAACTTTAATCTTTATAGGAGGCAAAAATCGAAAGCTTATCTTGCTCTTCAAGCATTGGAAGTTGACCTAAGTATGCTGGCACAACTACAGAGGTATGATTATTTTACTCTGAGTAAATTATCATTCATGAAGAACATGACATAGTGTTTAGTTTTACAAATGTAGCAAAAATACCACAAATGGAAATCCTGGAAATAATATTTGAAAATTTTGTTATATTAAATGTTAGGTTAGGTTAGGTTATTCAATTACGGCAAAGCCTCGAGGGCTATCTGCCTAAGGGGAGGGATGCCTTCGTGGAGGACTTTCTAAGGGAAACTGGCTCGTATACGCTGTTATATTAAATGATATGAGAGAGATTGAAATAATGGCATTCAATGCTGCATTTCCAACTTCAAATATTTATTTGTATTTTTCTAAAATAATTTATATATGCAATATATATATAAATTTAAACAAATTTAAATTCTAAACAAATACGTATAAAAGTAAAAAAGTAGAAAAGCAAATTTAAATTCTAAAAAAAGGAAAAAATCCAAAATAATTTAAAATAATTTTAAAAATATGCAAACATGTAAAAGATTTAATTCTCGAACTAATCTACAATATCATTTAAATTCAGAAGCATAAGCAAATCAAGTGTAAAATCTATCCATAAAAATAAATCTACTAATATATATATAATATGCTTCAGCACATATATATATTTCAGTCTCAATTTGCTATAGTTATGTCTCAAATAAGAAGAGGAAATGCTTTCCAGCAAGTTTTGAAATTCGATATAGGCAGGATCGTTGCCTATCGAAAGTGTAGATTATTGTTCTGTGATATCACTGGTCGGCATCCAACCACTGTCATGCGAATACGGAATCGGTGCATTGCTGAGGGTCATGCTGAATAGCATGTAGGATCTCAACACTCTCCTATGACTAATGCCAGAAAGGCCAGACATATTGGGAGGTCAGTCCTGCAAAACTGTATAACCACATCCCGGACTATTAGTAGGAAATGGGATTGTTTGCACCATGCCCAGTATCTGCTCGTATGGTGTGTTGATGTTTGCAGCAGCGTGGACTACAGCACGGCGACCATTACTTTGTCTTCTCTTGGCAATGTCGCATAGAAGAGATGGCAACTCTGGTGTGCCAAACGACAAAGCTGGGTACAGGAGTGGCACAATGTTGTCTTTTCAAACGAGTCTTGGTTTTACATGCAGTATTCTGATAGCTGTATACATGTCTGAAGTGTCCGAGAAGACCGCACGTCGCCTGCTTGCATTCCATGTTGGCATAGGGGTCCTGCATCTGATATGATGGTTTGTGCAGCAATTGGCTACACGGTACGCACATCTGTAGTTCGGATCGATGGTAATTTGAGTGCATATGGGTACATTTCTGACATGTCCAGTGGTTGTGCCCTATCTTTGAGACCCCCAAATGTCGTGTTCCAACAGGATAATACAAGACACATGGTGCATGTCGTGTTCTGACCTTCCTCGATACACAGGGTATTTAGTTGCCGCCCTGGCCTGCACGGTGTACAGATCTGGCACCCACTGAAAACATTTGGTCATGGGTTGCTGAGAGACTGGCTTGGCACCCCTCTCCAGCTAATACAGTTGATGAAGTGTGGCATAGACTTGAAGCAGAATGGAAGGAATTGCCCATTTCTGTCATCCAAGCCGTCTGACCGAGACCTTCGAGAAACAAGGTCATCCAGCTCTCTCGTGACGTCACGATGAGAAGTGCATGGACCTTGCAAACAAATCTCTCTCCTGCATTCGAAGCGAGGGGACCCACAATGCGCTAATTTATCAGTAAAAGCTAATTTGATGTTATTCTGATTTAAAGTAAATAGGGAGATTATTAGATAAATGATACTATCTTAACATTTATTATATATCATGCTTTAAGACTTCAGATATTTAAGCTTATTTTTCTTAATGCTTGATAAAAATTTTCACCTGGATGATCAATAATTATTTATATCAGTCTCATTTTATTTTCCATAGTTTGGATATACTTTTGCACTTCACAATGCAAAAAGTTTAAGCTTTCGAACTGCAAATGAAACATTGCATATTATTTTTCGTTTGTATGTAAACATGAAAAATATAAATAAAAAGAGCATTTTACAAGAACCAACTTTTTCTTACAGACTTTTTTAAATAATATATAATCTTCTTCAGTATGGCAATAAAATGAAAGAACTAGCATTTTCAGTTATTACATTTATTTTTTAAAAAAATTTTAGTGTAGAAGATCTTTTATAGTAAACTAAATAATAAAAAAGGAATATTTCATCATTTATTTATTGATATAAATACATTAAAATTTATTTTTTAATGTCAACATTGTTTTAAACTGTCAAATGGTGTTATTGTTATTATTAAAATAATTATTAAACTTGAAGTGATCCAGATTCTTATGGAATAAAAACCAAAGATCTATTTTTAAACTGTCACAGAAAATCATTTTACTTTAATTTTGCCGACTGTCTTTATTAAATACTTTTTTAATTGCGATATGAGTTCTTACTATTCTATATTACTCTTTAGCGAAATCTTGATATGTCCACATTAGAGTTTATGATCATAATAGTTAATTTTGTAGCTCTGTACATCGAAAGTTGTGCCTGTAACTATGTGTGCGTTTTGATTCTTTGGATCGTTTATGTGTATCCTTAAGGAATTGTAAAGGGGAAAAAATAATAATTCTCTGAAAATTGAATAGACAGCATTTTGAAAGGAACACACTGCAGAATTATGTTTTAAATTTTAAAATATGCAAGGTAGTTAGCCGAGGTTTCCACATCTCGTTACCGAAACGCCCGTGGTAGAGTCTATATCATATCAGGAAAGTGCTATGATAGTATAGGATATCGGATGTCCCTTGCAAAAGCACTTTGTTCTCCCAGTATATTTAATCTTAATTAAGACTGAATCCTGCAAATGGTGCTTAATTTGTTCATCTGACATTTTTGTCCTTTTCTTATGAGTGTGAATTATCATTTTACATATATATGGAATTTCAACCACATGACTTATAATGAAGTTATTACAAATTGGCTTTTTTAGACGATATGGAACAATCAGCTATCCACAAGAGAATCGAAATTTGGAGGGTCTTAATTGGTTGCTCATGCAGCCTTTCAAAACGTGTGTTATTAGCAATAATGCTATCTTTCTGTATTGAAAAAAAATTCTTGGACTTATGACCTTGTTGATATAGCTTGTGCTTCAATATATTGTGACAAAAATGGTACCTTAAAGAAGGTAAAAGTATGATTTTCATGAAAATCATATTTTTAATCATTATTATCACTAAATCCAGAAGTTCTTCAAGGGTAGGGACAAAAGATATGAAAAAGGGAAGACATTCTGAAACTGTTGACTGGAATCAGAACAATCTAAATGTGTGAAGGGCCATATATTTGCATAGTCAATTTTAACAACTCCTGCTGTATGGCTACAAAAAACAGTACATATTTGCAAACACAGTTTTGTAAATTTTGTGAATACAATTTCTAATTTTATTATCTTACACATAAAACTAATTTTTTTTATAAATTTTCAGTTCTTATAAAGATGCTAAAAATGTGGCAATTGCGATTACTAATTAAATAATGCATTTCATTCACGTACTGTAGGCAGGTACTCAGGCTACTACTCGAATTCATTCATCTTTAATGCATTCCAAAATATTTCCTTTTTGGAACATTAATTTAATTTGTCTCCATAATTTTTGACTCCATTTTGATAATTTTTTAACTATTAAAATTAAAATTATAAAATTTTTTAACTATTAAAATAGCAATATATTAAAATGATATATTTAGAAAAATAACATTAAGGTAGAGCATTTTTATTTTCTTTGATTTTTTAGAATGAAGATATCAGTAAGTCGACAAAATGAAATAGGAATAAATTAAAAATAATGACTATTTTAAAACATAATTTCCGAATAACTTTTTGGGAAAACAAAAATACAGCTATAGTTATTTTGAAATTAATTTCATTTATCTACTTTTACATTTTTTATGACAAGAGCTTCTTTCAGAGTATTCAAATATGTATTAATTTTCTGTGTAAAAATAAATTTAATTTTATTTTTCTGAATTTTGCTTAACCAATTTTGCCAACCAATTAAGACCCTCAATTTTTTTTTTTTTTTTTTTTTTTTTTTTGATAAAGTTGCCAAAGACAGAAATTTGGTTATTTAGGCAATTTTTCACTAAGGTCATGTATCTAAGAAGGTTCTAACAAGATTTGTAAACAAGATCTACAACTGAAAATCCAGAAATGATCTGCGATGAAATTAAAAATGTATTTATTCTATTAATGTATAGTAAATATGCTTGATTGTGATGAATTTCTCTTACTGTTTAGGGAATTTGTGAAAAAAGTTGCGAAACCAATGTTATTTGAATTTCTTACTTTTGATCCCAGATTCTAATTTTTTCACATGGACATGCAGAAAAGAAACTTCTCTGTTAACAAAAATGGTTTTCTTTATCATTTTTATAACATCTTATTCAATGTTTTATTTCATCAACATAAACATGATAGTTGAAAATTTCTATAATATTATGGTCTAAGGTCTGAATGTTAGAACTTGTATTTGCCGGAAGAGACACTAATGCTTATCAGAAAGAGATGATCAATGCTTGTGTTTGCACTGTTATCTTCTTTTTCTGTTTCTGCACTGTTTTTCCCCCCTCCCCCATTTTTTAATATGCTGATCCATTTTAAAAGAAACTTAGTAAAAATACTTTTTGTCATCCATGAATTCCTGTTGTTGTGGTTAGAGGTGAATACTTGACACCTTTCTAATATCGAGGTTTTCTGCTTTTTTTCCATAACCAGTTTTGTATAATTGTTGGGTTTGTACTACACATTAATAACACAGAACTTGTTATTTCAGTTTTTTAACTAGCTGATGTTTTGTATTTAAGCATACTCTGTAAAACAGACCAGTTTTGTTCTGTATTAAAGATTCGTGCTGTTGCTTTTTTTTTTTTTTTTTATGGTAGGTGAAATGTTTTTTATCCAGTTAGCTATATAATTACTTGGCTCTTCCCTCTGACCTCACAGTTTCTGATGAACTCCCTTTCTAACTTGTAAACTGTCTGCTAACTGATGTAAAATTCTGTCGGAACTTTTTAGCAAATTTCACAGCTTTTTCAAGAAAAAGCTGTAGAAATAAAACTATTTTTTAGTTTTATGGCTTGAAACCATTTTAGAAGAGCAGTTTCAGCTTTTCTTGAATTTCGTTATTGTGCTTCCTTGAGAGATTTGGAAGTTTCACAATGCTGTTTGGAAATTTGCTAGTTTAAATGCACTTTTTCGATTGCTGTGCTTACCAAGAACATTAAGATCGTTTAACGATCTTTTTCTTTTAGGCTTTTTCGCTTAAGTATTTATGCTGTGTTGCAAAGGAAGCATACAATATATATAATAACAGTAATGAAAATAAAAAATCTTCTAGTGAATTATTCATTTTCAAATCCAAAATGTTTCACAGGTTTAGGTATCAGTGTTTTGGGCTAAACCAATTTTATTAAAGTATGTAACAAACTACTTACTTGAACAATAAATTAGTCACAGTCCACAATAAGTTAAATGGATGAACTAAAAATAGCTTTAAGAGAAATAAGTAGGGTGTTCTAGCACTAAAGAATCAGTCTTTTACTGGTCTGAATTTTATAAGTGGTATAGATTAGTTTAATAAACAGTGGGGTTTTTCTATTGATTAGTATACATTTGTTTTGGTTCCTGGAAATATGAATGTAATAATTAACCAGTGACACTAATAAGCGATTAGTAACTATTTCTGTTACATTCTTAGAATAGTATTACAAGAATAAAGTTGGTTGCACATACAATTGCTTTAATTAGTTCAGTTCTTATATTGACAGGTCCCACCCCCCTTTTTTTGTTTTAGAAGTCCTTAAAAGTTCATAATTTTCATGTGTAAAAAATAAGTGCCTTAATGTGCCAAGATAGAAAATTTTGAATCTTATTGTTATTCTTATAATATGTAAACATTATTATTCTGTTGGTTGTTATTCTTATAATGTGTAAACAATTTAATTTTTTCTCATTATAGTCTTCTACATCTAACTGTAATATGTATCAAGTTAGTAAAGTCACACTTCACCCCTTAATTTCTTGAAACAGTGTACTTTCAATAGATAACAACTTGCCTATTTATAAAACCGTATTGCGTCTCATAATATGCTAAGCCTGCCCGGTCTGGGCATATTCATGCAAATCTTATAGAAAAAAATTGCAACAGGCACAAAATTGTGTCCTAAGACATTACCAATTTGCCCTGGTACGTTCGAAATCAAAAATTACATGAAGAATTGGGTATAGAACAACTTAAGTATTTTTACTGCTGGCTCGCCCAGAACTTTTATGCCAATCTTGTTAATATCAACAACCCAGTTATAAGGATTTACGATTACAACTTTAATGACCCAAATAACAGTAAATGGCTTATGGCCGTACTTAGTACCCATATCGTATAACTTATTTCTGATATGTACCTTTTAATATTTTGTTATAGATTTAAGGTTTAATTATTACTAGTGCACCAAGAAACTCACACTACTTTGCCTATTATTTATATGAATGATTTTTCTGCATCAGGCTATGGCCAACTCATTCCTCCTTTCTCGGCCTTCCCAGATAGCTTTTCAGGTCTGTTAGAACTTGACGCACACTTTAGTCTTTTTAGAAATTAATCTTTTAATTAACTCTTATCTTATTTCTATTCTTACAATTTTAAAAAATGTTAAAAACATGACTTAATTATATATATATATATATATATATACATATATACAGAGTTGCCAACTCTCCCGATTTAGGCGGGAGACGCTGCAGCTTTATTTAGAAAAATGTTTCCCAATAGTGAAATTGCTAAGAAATACTCAAGTGCAAGGACAAAAACAAGTGCAATTGTTAAAGAAATGGGTTTGAAAAATAAATCTTCAGTTATTGATTGCATTAAAACAGCTCCGTTCTGCGTGTCTATGGATGGAAGCAATAATACCGATTCAAAACTGTATCCAATTGTTGTTTCTTTTTTTAATCCAGAATCCTCAGAAATTGAGTGCAGTTTACTTTCTGTCCTTATTTAAGAAGGACATTCGACAGGCTTTAATATAGCACAGCTAATTATTAAAACTTTAAAAGAAAATGCAGTCCCTCTGGATAATTGCTTAGCACTTGGTGCCAATAATGCACCAGTAATGGTAGGCTTGAAGTCTGGTGTTGCAGGCATCTTAAGAAAGGAAAATTCAGGTTTGCAGATTATGAGGTGCATCTGTCATCTCTTAAATTTACCAGCTTAGAAAGGGGCAGCTTCTTTACCAATAAATGTGAATGAACACATTGTTGGTATTTATTATTATTTTGAAAAGAGTTCTAAAAGGAAGGAAAAATTGAAATAGTTCCAACAGCTGCATAATACTGAAATGAGAAAAAATTTTGAAACATGTGTACACACTGGCTGTCTTTGTAGAAATGCTTATCTAGAATCCTCGATCAATAGAACCCACTTCTTGCATTTTTTAAGAAAGAAGTAAATGCTTCAAGAGTTAAGATAAAAGGCACTATTGAAAGTTATAAAATATCTAAATGGAGATGTAGTTACTACTTCCATTGTTAAAAATAGGTTTGAGAAAAATAAAGTAATTTCTACACCATTCAGCAATTCAACTGGCAGTTCTCAAAATAATATTGCAAAATATAAGCATAAAGCTGATACAAATTTCTCTCAAAATAAAAATTAAAAAAAAAAAAAAAAATGCTGAACACACGAAACATTTTCCGATTACTGTAAGTTTATCTTGTGAAGAACAAATATTTGTTTTTTTCTTCGTACCTTAACAAAGCTTTTTGCTTTTTTTTACAATTCATTTTGCCATAATTCAATGTTCTTAACACAGTTCTACAAAGCAGAATTCCATTAATTCATGTTTTGCAGTCAGTGATTTATGATCCATTTAAAGACATTTTATCAAAGTTAGTAAAACCATCTTGTAATTCTATATGTGATGTGATTTTTGGTGAAATAGAAAATCAGAAGAAAGATGAAGATTTGGTAATAGGAGCTGTAACTACAAAAGTAGTGGAAGAACTTTCAGAAGAAGACAAAAATAAGTTTTATCTTCATGTTAGAAGTTACTTGAGTATGTGATTACATACTGCATAAATTTCCAGTCAATGATGAAGTGATTTTACATGCTAAATTTGCTGATGTTTCTGCTCTAGCAAATGCATCTTTTTCTCATATAAAGTACTTTTTGAACAGATTTCCTGTGTTACTTCATTTAGTCATGGAAGATGATGTTGCCACTGATATATTGCAGTTTACAATTAGAAAACTTGGATTGAGTTATAAAATCAGCTAAGATTGACACCCAGTGGAGTTTAATTGGAAAACTGAAAGGTGCTGATGAAATTTTAAAATATAGTGAACTGTCTAGAATTATGTTGGCCATCTTGACAGTTCCCTATAGTAACCTGGAGTGTGAGAGGATTTTCAATGTTTTTGCGAAAACTAGGACTAAATTTACTAAATCTACTATTAGTGATAGCACATTAGAAAAACTTTTATTAGCAAAAGCGGGCCTATGTGGCATTTGCTATGAACAAAATTATGAAGTTTCTTTCTTACTGAAAGCAAACTTGCTAGTGTTCATAACATTTGTACAAAAACTGATTTAAAGTGTTTTTTTTTTTTTTTTTTTTTTTTGTTTTCCTTAAACAGTGCAAGTAATAAAAATGTTTTTTATGTGTAAGGTATTTTTGTGTTGCTTACATTTAAGAATTAGTAACTATTTAAAGTTAATTCATTATTAAAAACTATATTTTTATCATTTAAAAAGTCTTTTTAACATTGTGAAAAATCTCCAGATTTTTGAGTGTCATTGGCAAGTATGTATATAAAAAATTCTAAATATATACTAGTTACTCATGACAGTATTCGAAATAACATATCTGTTCTACAAGGGGTAGGGACCTTGATCCAGGCACCCTGGTGCTACACCGTTTGCCCAGTGCGTCAATAGTCTTCTAAAATAACCATTTGTTGCTGTTATGATTTTTATAATTTTTTAGCAGTTTGCTCTTTCTCATGCATGTAATATTCTTCTTCCTGTAGCTCAATAATTGAACCTAGTAACCTGGTACACAAATCACCAGTAGGAATACTTCAGCAAAGACGGGGTGGTGAGTAATGTTTTTTCCATTATAATTTTTTTTACTTAGGAAATAAACTGTGTACATTGTACTTCAGTTGTATGTTAATTATTAATATATTTATTTGTAATCAAAATACTTTTTCGATAATATATCAATATTCTTTTTTGTTGATATCTGTGATCTTTTTTGTGTATTATTTTTCTTTTATTATAGGCTATTCACTGAAATTGACATATTTTATCTCACCATATGATCTCTTAGACCCTGAAACAAAATCATCAATACCTTTGACTGTTGATGGTATGTCTTTTTTTATTATTTTAGTGTTATATATCTAAAGCAAAACATGTAATATTCTAAATTTGATATTTTGCAAAAATACGGTATTTGGCAATATCTAAATTTGTTGTGAGATTATCATTATTGAAACTTACTGGTCAAACAATATTCTCATCACTAATGAATTCCCATTCAGTTTGCAGATGCTTCTCATCATGTTATGATAGGGAAAGAACGAGATTCCCATCTGTTAGTACTGTGTTTCCACGGAAATAAGCCCTAGCATGATATTTCAGAGTTCTAATATGAACTTATGTTAAAATCATCAGCCTGACAGGCACCTTATTGCTGAATAACGAAGTGCTGATACATGATACATGCACAATTGAAACAAACACACATATTAATTCATAAGTCAAACAGCAAAAATCAGCGTTAATTTTCAAAATTTTTCACAGGACTAGTTTCGATGGTTTTACCGAACTACCATCCTCAGCTGCAAAACTGCAAATAAACAAGATAGGGAATAATGATTAGATAAGATTAGAAAGCCTGAACAAGAATAAGCGAGTGGCGCCATCTGTTGGTGAAACCAGAACTAAAACATAATTTCTTTAAAGGCCAAAGGCAAAGATGGATTGGAATTAGGATTATTAACAAGAACAGAAAGATTTTTTTGAATGTGAAATGCCTCTAGAAAATCCAGTTCTCCAATGGAAGATGTTTTTTGAATAATTTTGGCAGCAGAAAAATTGAAAGTGTGATTTTCGGACCAACAATGTTGAGCAACAGAAGACTTCTGTGTTTCCTTTTTTCTAACATACGCCTCATGTTCCTTGACGCGAAATTTTGAGGCTCTCTTAGTTTGACCAATGTAAATTAAACCACACTGGCAAGGAATCCTATAAATACCCAAAGAATTCATATCCAGAATGGGGTCCTTGAGTATAGAAGTTGGAATTTTATTGATGGAAGAATAAACAAACCGAAAGTTAAATTTCTGCAAAATATGTGCAACTTTATAGTAATTGAGTTCACTTTTGAACTTGAGACTTGCAATTCTCTTCCGTTTCTCGACATTCTGGTCACACGTAACACATCTAACTTCAGTACTACGGTTTACCGTAAACCTTTATTGGTTTGCCTTCCACCACACTTTAAATCATGTCATCCGACTAAACAAAAGTTAGCTTCATTTTATTCCTATGTTTTCCGTGCTCTTCAAGTTTGCTCCTCCAAACTAGCCCTTGATGAAGAACTAAATTATTTAAAAGCAATAGCTATTGACAGGGGCTTTTCACCCAACATTATTAATCAAGCAGTTAAAAAATTCTCATCTCAACACACTAAAAGGCACACTTTTGTTTTAGGAGATTATAAAAATTCTGTTGTCATTCCCTTCTTTCCATTCAATTAGCTATAAAGTTGCACATATTTTGCAGAAATTTAACTTTCGGGTTGTTTATTCTTCCATCAATAAAATTCCGAGTTCCATACTCAAGGACCCCATTCTGGATATGAATTCTTGGGGTATTTATAGGATTCCTTGCCAGTGTGGTTTAATTTACATTGGCCAAACTAAGAAAGCCTCAAAATTTCGCGTCAAGGAACATGAGGCGTATGTTAGAAAAAAGGAAACACAGAAATCTTCTGTTGCTCTACATTGGTCTGAAAATCACACTTTCAATTTTTCTGCTGCCAAAATTATTCAAAAAACATCTTCCATTGGAGAACTGGATTTTCTAGAGGCATTTCACATTCAAAAAAAATCTTTCTGTTCTTGTTAACGATCCTAATTCCAATCCATCTTTGCCTTTGGCCTTTAAAATAATTATGTTTTAGTTCTGGTTTCACCAACAGATGGTGCCACTTGCTTATTCTTGTCCAGGCTTTCTTATCTTATCTAATCATTATTCCCTATCTTGTTTATTTGCGGTTTTGCAGCTAAAGATGTTCGGTAAAACCATCGAAACTAGTCCTGTAAAAAATTTTGAAAATTAATGCTGATTTTTGTTGTTTGACTTGTGAATTAATACGTATTCGGCGTGTGTTTGTGTCTTAAACACACATAGTTGTGACAAATTAGATCTTCAGTATTTAATGTGTCGTGTTAGCAATGAATGTTAAGTACCCGGTTAATAATTAAAATATAATAAATTTTGATGTTTGGATAAAACAAGTGCAAAAAAGAAAAGGCTGTTACATCGAGTATAAAAAAGGAATTCTAGAAGACTCCAGAGATAAAAATCTTACAGCTTTTTACAAAGAGAAAAAATCGGATTCACAAATGGTAAGAAAATGGCAATCAGAATGCAATAACCTCTGTCAACTGGCTGATGAAGGAAATGCCAAGAAGCATAAAGTGTAAGTATGAAACAGGACGACAATGAATATTCCTTGAATTGGGACACATGAATTGCTGACAGAAGAGCAAAGTATTTGGTTGTTTGCAGGGCTGATATTCAAGCATTTGCTATTACAGTGACATCACAGCTAGACATGTCTCCTGATGAAGTCAAGGCATCACTATATTTGGTGCATGGCTTCTTTCAGCAGTGTGGACTGTCTCAAAGATTAGTATCAAACTGGAAGATGCTGAAGTGATTAAACGTGCATTTCCATTCATGTGTTTCGTTGATGGCATCGACTTCTCTTAGTCCCAGCTTTTGAACAGGATTGCTATGGATAAAAACTGAAGTGTTTATGGGTCAAGGGTCTTAAACTACCATTGATCAGAGGTGTGGTTCTGCAATATACATTCAGTCTCCTAGTTACAAAAGTGCATGCATAACATGTATTTTGGCATTTTGTCTTGATGGATGTCTTGCCCCTTAGGGCAAGAAAGAAGAAATCGAATGTGTTTCAGATACAGTGGGTACTGCTTAATAAAATCAACCCCTTATTAAAATCAAAATTTCAAATGAGTACAATATCATTATAAAATAACTGCTTAATAAAATCAATGCAACCACTTATAAAAATCGAACCATTTTTTAAAATGTGAAGTCAAAACCCCAACTTTGTGTTTTATGTTAAGTGATTTTGTTCAAAGTCGATTCAGTTTTGCACATGGAGGTGCAAATGCTAGAATTTTCATATCTGAAATTGTCAAAACCCTGGAGTCTCTTTCAGTGTTGATTCACTTATACAAGTGGAGCTGTAAATGCTAGAATTTTCTTATCTGGACCATTGATGGGTAGGGGTGAGTTACAAAAGGTTTGTCAGACCAGTTGGGAGAAAAGAGAAACATAAGAAAAAAATGTGAGGGAGAATCTGTATACAAGCTTGTCATTTTTTGCTCACATAGTTCGTTCAGTTCTCATCTACATAGTGCTTTAGTTGTTTGGTTATGCCTGAAGCTGTGTAAACACAACGACTTAAGCTTTAAGCTAAAGAACTGTTGAAGCAGTATTAAGCTTTACCAAAATGCAGCCAGCGTGAAGCTTCTGTATAAGTCAGAATTTCACGTTATCTATATTGTTGAAAAGAAGGGAAGCAATTTTGATGACAAGTACAATGCTTCACATAAGTGGAACCGAAGTGGAAAATCTACCAATGTGGAAACTGCCCTCTTGGGAGTGGTTTTGAAATGCCAGGAACGAAAACACCACAATGTCATGAGAAATCTTGTATCAAAAGGCAACAGATTTCGTCAAAATGCGGGGAAAGGAATTTGTTTCTACCACTGGATGACTCACAAGATGGAAAGAAACAGTATCGTTTTCAGAAAATTATATATATAGAAAAAAGATGTAGATTCTAATGAAGCTGGTAATTGGATTGAATAAAATTTAGCTGGATCTTCTGCAAGAATACAAACTGCATCAAAACACTGATAAGACTGGTGTTTATTATCGAGCCCTATGTCAACACACTTTAATATTTCAAAGAGAGTCGTCAGCTGGATGTAAAAAAATTGAAGCAACATGTTATTGTGTTAACATGTAATATGGATAGAATAGTTAAAAAGAGTCCATTAGTAATCGGTGCAAGCAAAAACACCAGCATCAAGCATTTGCCTGCCACTTATTACAACAATAAAAATGCTTGTATGACAAGCAGTATTTTTAGCTATTTTCTTACAAAGTGGGATAAAGAACTTTAGCAAGAAAATGTGGTGCTTTTGTTAGATAATCATGCTACCAATCTAACTACACTTTCATTGAAGAACATAAAATTACTTTTCTTTTCTTCTAATACAATATCCATTCTTCAGCCATATAAAACCATTCAAGAGTCATTACAGAAAAGAAGTTGCTCAAACTGTTATTAATGAAATTGATACGACTGATGCAGTTTGTTCTAAGGAAATTGTTAATTTCTCGCTTAGATGCCATTCATATTATTTTAAATGCATGGGAGGAAGTAACTTCACAAATAATTTCAAATTGTTTTAAAAAAAAGCTGACTGAGAATGAAGAAAATCTTGACGAAATCTTCCTTAAATATTTGGGAATCAATGAAAGTATCCATACTTGCTATAAAAAGAATGAAGCAGAGATCATAAAAGTTATCAGAGAAAGCAAAGAAATTCGTGAAAATGAAAGTGAGTCCAAAGATAAAAATCACGATCCTGTGCCAACTTCCAACTGTTAATACTGTAAATTCATGGGAACAACCATGGTGGCAGATTAGTTTGTTCAATCCATCACAAATAAATATCATTAAAGAACAAAAAAAAAAAAAAAAAAAAAAAAGGTTGTACTTCAGGAATCAAACTTTTTATGCATGTTATTTTTAAAATATGTGAAAAATCAATGAGCTTACATTTCTGCAAGAGATATTACTTATGTACCTGAGCTCCTTCCATAAAAATTAAAAATTACATTCTGGCTTCCACCTCCTCTCCTTTTTATATTAAGGAAATACATAATTTCTGCATAAAATCCCCCCTTCCCTGATGTTATGCTTGTATTACCTTATTTTACAAGCATATCAGATTTATTTTATTCATGTAGGACATAAATAATATGATATTTTTTGGAAATTTTTATTTGATTACTTGAAATTTAAGCTCATTAAATATATTTTTATGTGTGCTAATAATTGTTATATTTTTATTTTCTTTTATCATTTGAAATAAAAAATTATCATTTACCCAAACTGTATGCAGCTGTGCCGTTATTTGAAAAGAGTGTTTAGTGATGCCTTTGTTTAAAAATAATTTTTATGTTATTATTTCTAAAAGATGTTTTTATGCTACTCTTGTGTGTGATTATGTGTGTGATTTTTATGCTACTCTTGATTTATTTGTGTGTGAACAAAGCAAATATAAAAATAAAAAATGAACAATTTTCTTTCCCTTTTTGTTTTAAGCTGTAATAGAGAAAGGACTTGGACATTCAGTTACTGTTTGTATTGAAAGTTCTACAGCTCACAAACTACAAACGACATCATTAATAAGCATTTCCAAAACTCCTGAAGGCAAAAGGTAAGAATCATTCACGTGGCTTTAAATTAGTAATATTTATTGCATGTGATAAAAGTTTTTTAATGTCGTATGGAATTTTCTCATTTATTATATTGGTTTACAAGAACTTTTATCACTTTAAGCACAAACAAGTGTCATTCATTTTCTGCAAAACCGAAAGTTGTTCCTTACAGAAATTTAGTATCAGTGATTTTCTGTCAGTGCTTAGAATAAAATTAGATTCTATTTCTGTGGGCTACGAATTGTTAAGTAGATGAAAGTTGTTAATTCATCTTGGGTTCATTTTCTGACAAGTGGGCTGATTGCATTGGTTTTTCAACCATGAATGCATCCCTTTTGAGACAGACAGATCTTGTGTATTTTGTTGCATTATATCAACTTCTTCCTATGCATCTGAATAGGCTTTAGAACAAAGAACTCTTCCTGCTCCTAATAGGGTTACCATGCTACCTGAAAAACCTGGAAAAGTCAGAAAATTTAAGTATTTTAGTCAAAATCTGGAAAAGGCAGGGAATTTTGTACGGAGATCCTTAAAAAAAGCAATTTTTACATCAACATTGAAAGCGATCACCTTTCTTGGCAAATTATGTATCGCATGAGCTTTCAGACAGCTGGCATAGAGCCAATTTTTGCAATCAGATTGTCTTTTATAAAGGCAAAGCAAGTTTCCAGCAACTTTGGTCTCCAGTAACCTCGAGAACCGAGAGATTCACATGCGTATATGCAGTGCATGTTGAACGAAATAAAATACCTTTCCATTCTCGTAGAAAACCAAATTGGTTTAATTCTAGTATACTGTACACACAGGATTTGGCAACATTATGATGAGTATTAAACTGGACATTTGTGATAAGCAGTAAGTGGGTCATTTTGGTGTTGGCGGCATTTTTCAAAATCGTGCCAAGGCTGTACCGTATACAAGGATTATACCACAAAATCTTTTAAACCTTTTTAAAATTTATTTGTCAATACTTGCTACAATAAAATTTATTTGTCATTTTGCAGTAAAATAAAAAAATAGTAATCAGTCATCTAGGCTAACCATTTAGTATAGTTATATTCGCCAAATATCATTGATTATTGTAATTTATTTTTTAATCTTTAAGTAATGAACTTTATTTTAGTGTTATTCATATCATTTAATTTGGCTTTGTCCTTCTAAATTTATTTATTATTAGTTAATAATACTTTCAAATTTCAGGTAATTTTTTGTGGCATACTCTTGAAACTAATTTTAGCAGTATGATGACGTATCATTACAAAATTTTATGCACATATTTTTTGCTTATGTATGCTGCTAAATAAATATAAAATACCTGAATTTATTTAAAAATATCATTAAATAGGTTTCTTGGCTGCAAAATTTCTGTAAAAAAGAACATTTTTTTAAATCCAGGTTGGGCAGATCTAATCTCAATCTTCAGTGGAGAAAACAGCTATTATAGTTATAATAGTAATGCTTTGCAAATAAGTCTTAAATTGCCAAAGTTTTGTGTTTTCAAGTGGTACCATAATTAATTTACCTCTCAGCATAGCCAACGCACACTATGCGGATAAACACATCTTCAAAAGTCAGGGAATTTCATTCTTGTGTGATTGGCAACCCTGTTCTAATCATGCTCCTTTATGAAGGTCTGTTGCTCAAGGCAGCTGCTTCATCGGCTGGAAAAAAGTGACAGTGTATTAAGGCAAAATTTGTCAGTTCAGCTCCATTATTTTTTGCATTTCTTCAGGTTTATGGTTTGTTTAAGCAGTTTTATTATTATTATTATTATTATTATTATTATTATTATTATTATTATTATTATTATTTGTGTGTGTGTGCAAAAAAAGTGCTCTCAGAGCACCTCAGCAATTTAAAAGTAACAGGCTTGTAGTTATTTAGAGTGGTATTTGGTAAAGATACTGGTGATAACCTTAAAAGTGTGCCAAATAAAGTATATCACACTTATGATAGTAGGTCTTCATTTTGGTTTAGGCCTAGGCAGTTCATTCTTCATTACTTAAATTGACTTTAAGTTAATGTAGAAACATTGTATTTTATCTCTTGTGCTGATGGAATAGAGCCAAGCATTGGTCAATTGGGAAACAGCAGTTTCTACGTACTGTTAAACTGGTGAACAGATAAGTTTCTTTGCTGAAGCTACATCATCAGTCTGGTTTTATATGAGTAGTCTGTTTCTGTACATTCTAGTCTTGCTCACAGTTATATATATGTTTCTTGTGTTCTGTACTGATTGCTATCTTGAAAATTGTTGAACTTCATATTTCAAATTGCCACAAGGAAACCATGAAGCAAAATGCTTGCATTAAGTACTTCTACGCTACCCTTCACTAAATGTACTTCACTAAATGTGCTGTTAACTTGATAAGATGACAACATTGAGCCATTTAAATTTGCAAAACATTCTTTGTATAAAAATAGCATTGAAAATATTCACTTATAGAAATCATACTATTTACAATGTATTGTTTAAAAAAATTATATGCTCCATTTTTTATGTAGGCATATTTTGTGAATGAAATCTTAAATAAGAATTCTGAGAAAGTAAGTTATTGATCATGTAAAACCATGAGTCAGCAGGGAAAAAAGTTTGAATTTTTTGTTACATTTTAGGCATTATCATTAGCAATTGGAGATGGGTGTGTGTGTATGTGGAATAATTTATGGCGTTACCACATAATTATTTAATGTGAAATTTCTTTACTTATATCTGTATATTTTTTTTAAAATACGTGTGCTGTTTCTGAATGTCTTGAAATTCTTTTTGTATAAAATGTCATTTAAGAAGCCTATTTTGAAAGTCTTCATTTTCTTTTTTTCATGATTTCCCTCTCTTCTTTTTTAAACTAAGTTTGAATTTTGCTTTATCTTCAGATTGGTGTATTTTGTTTCTACATTTTGAGATATATATTGTTGCACATATTTGAAAAACATGCAGTATTCTAAACTGAAATTTTAAAATTGTATTTAACTTTTGTTAATATGAGTTACACACGACTGTTCAATGAATTAGAAACCCCGAGATCAATATTTTATTGGACCACCTTATGCACTGAATACTGCTCTGAGCCATCTGGACATCAAGTCTACATGCTTCTGGAGTGCATTTATGTCCAAAGAATTGTTATATAAATAAATTGAATTATACCTTCATCACAGGGATAACAGTGTTTATTAGGAGAATGGAAAAGGTAAGCATTCATACAACAGTGATCAACATTAATTACTACGACTAATATAACAGAAATTCTAAAGTTGGCAAATTGCCCCAAAACATAGATTACGTCATTTAATGTTCTGAGAGGCGAATACAAGCTAATAAAGAAAAAGAAATCATCTTAATCACTGCATCTTGTGACATAAATTGTGGTATAAAATAACAACACCCCTCCTCAATGATTAATCCTTAATAAAACAAAATAACTTACCTTAAGATGCTTAAAAAAACAATAAATCAATATATAACATGAAATTACATCTTTAACATAATCTAAGGTTAGGTTTTGCCTAAAAGTTTTTAGTTTGTTTGGCCCTAATAGCTTTCTTAAAATGTTAGCAGTCATTTCATCAGTGTGCAGATATCGGTTCGTAATTTTTATTTTTAAAAAAATGCAAAACTGCAGGGGCACATGATCTGCCAGTATATCTAGGTATCCCATGGTTGTTTGTTTACCCTCGAGGAACACCAAGGCACCACTTTCATGGCTTCATGGGGTTCCTGCCAAATTCGATGTCTTCCATCAGTGCAAAATAAGATGTAGCATGATTCATCCGACCACATTACCTTTTCCCAATCCTCAGATGTCCAGTGTCTTCTTCCCTGACACTGCAGGTGCAAGGTTGTGCGGCCCACAATGGCGGCGTTCAATCATTAAAACAAGCAGTTCGTCTCGCTGCCTGCCTGAACAGGAAAATTCTTCTCTTATTTGAACGCTTCTCTGGGGTTCGACTCAGATAAAATCTGGGAAGCTACTGATTAGGATCTATACCTAGGCAGTCTCAGCTTGAGTGTTTAAAATCAGTCTCTACAGGACTGGTGATGGTTTTTTCAGGTTCGGCAGGGACCGCCGCATGGCACTGTCTTGTCTGTTCTGTTGGTTGTGGTGGAGCTATGTAGTCAGATATTCATGGTTGTCTGGAGCGAAACAGCCCCATCAATGGAATTGGCGAATTCAGCTAGCCTTTAAACTGCTTGAAGTTTCCAGTGGAGCCTCAAAACTGCATATTCATTTCCTTCCTTGGTTTTGCACTGGGGTCACCTAAAGCCGAGATCTGTGTACCATGACATAGTATTAACAGGCCGGATGTTTGGCCCGGGCTTTCTGACAGTATTTAAATGACTTCATTCTGCTGTCCAGGGTTGAGGCCCTTGTTAATGGCAGAAGTTTTTACCATCCCTTCAGAACGGGGACGTGGAATATGAGTTTCTGAGTATTCCTGTCGACTGAGTCTTATTAGCTCGTCAGCTCGACCATTAGATTTGTGGGCTTTTGTTTCGCTTCTAGGGGTTGGGATGTTTAACTGTGTTAAGGCAGCCTCATTCTTGCCAGGTCTGAGTGCCCCTTCCTCCTAGCACACTGTCTTATTTGACTCAAAGTTATAACCAGGACAGGAGTTTGTCTTTGGTGTTCTCTTCTGTCTTATCTGAACATGGAAATACTTGATGCTGATGCGTATGTAAGGGTATACACATTCGACAAATTGCTTAATCCTTATGTTGCAATAGTAGTAATTTGTGCAACATTTATCGTTTTTGTGATTACTTGTTGTTATTGTTTTTCTACATAAAGGTAAGTGCAGTTATATATTACATTAAACTTTGTTTAACTTTTTAATTCCGAAAATCAATGATTTGAGCATAATTATACTAATATCTAAAACATTTTCCTCTAAGATTTTTAATAAGAATGTAGTTTGTCCTCCACCGGTCGTATCTGTTGTGATACAAAATATTAAAAACCTTTCTTCAATACCCATGTCTGCATTTTCTAAATTAAGATGCCTCATACAAATTGATATCTGCTCTTGATGGCTAGCATTAGGGGTACAATCAAGTAAAATAGAAAAATTCTTTGCCTATTTGACTTTAATTAAAATAATTTGCTTTTATATTATCTCCTAATAAGCTAATTGTTTTTATTTTGAATTTTATTTCCAAGGTAATGAAGCATATTTTTTTAGTTTGATTTTATTAATATATACAGACATTGATAGTGTCAAATTTTGTGATCATTTCTATACTGTTTAGAAAATTATTATATCTTTAAAATAATTTGTTACTGGAACCACGGAAGGCTAAGTTTTATTTCGCTAAGAATTAAATGACATAGATTATTCTTTCAATAACATCGCGCCAATGCTTAGTCTCTTTTTTAATTAAATTTGAAATTCCGAATTAACATGTTTATTCTTTCGTAATCATTCTAAGAAATCGGATAACTCTTTCGCTGTTTGGCCAGATTCGACAAAAGTACATCTAAAAAAAAATATTACGTCTATTTTTGTCTTTTGGGAAACTGAAATTCAAAACAAAGTTTTGGTAATATCCAGAACATTTTTCTATTAAGGTTGAACTTGGAATAGCAATAAGGGACTTGGGTATAATCCAGAATCGTCAGGCACAGGCAGATGTGTATTTACTGCAGAAATTGTAGATTTCAATAATATTTCCTCTGTTTTTTTTCGACAGACTGGCTTTGAAGTTAAAGGTAATTCCCAGGTGAAAACACTTTCTAATTCTTTCTGATTATTAGGTTCTTTTGGTTATTTCATTGGTAGCTGAGACATTAATGGACAACTAGTACAAGTAGTGTCAGGTTGGGTATTCTTTGGGTTAAAGTTCTGGTTTATTAAGTTTTCCTCTCACCTTCTTGTTCTTCATTACATTCTAATACTCAGACTGTTGTTGTTTTTCTTCTGACATCTGAGAAAAATGAAAACAGAAAAAGTAGAAGTAAACATAAAAGTAGAAAATAACTATTATAAGAACTATTGTGTAAAATGCTTCTTGAAAACACTCAGAAAGTCACTGAAATATTTTACTTTACCTTCTGAAAAACTGAGTAGATCTTACCATTGAGTAAACCATTGCTTGGAAAATATGTGAACTATTAGATAAATACCAAATAATTCAAGGGGGTGGTAGTACTCTTGTTTATTAAACTAAATAAATCAAATTAAAAGTATGTATTTAAGACATAATGAAATAACAGAACATTTTTCTTTGGTTTTCCGTTTAGTTAAAAATCGGAAAATGACCAGTTTTTGATTTTAAAATACCTTGTATGTTTTTACTTCTTCAAATCTCAGATAAATATATTTTAAATTCAGTGGTACTCCGTAAATATCTCAATCCTTTCTTCTCGAAAGATTATAATTTTTAGTTTAATAAACAAATTGTTCGTGTAAAAAAAACATTTTTCGAGCAATTATGCTCAAATCATTGCTTTTCTGAATCAAAAAGCTAACCTAAGTTTAACATGATATGTGACTGCCCTTACCTTTCTTATGTATAATAAATATAACATCAAGCAATCAAAGGAAAAGAAAAAAAAAAAAAAAAAAAAAAAAAAAACATACAAAAGATGAATGGTGCGCAATTACTACGATTGTAACAGTAGACACAAAAATAAGGACTAAGTCAATTTATCGAATGTATCTACGGCTTCCCCTGTACCCTTGCATAAGCATCGGCATCACGTTTTTTCATTCACATATATTTGCAAGATCAGCTCAACTTATGTCAAAAACTGCAAAAGCATTCATTGATAAAAAAATCAATAGTATAGATCTTATGCATGAACTGTAGTTTTGCAAACTTTTAGAGGAAATATAGCATCACTGGTTGGAACTCTAAGCTATATCGTTGTTAACAACATAGCGGTGTGCAGAAAAGAATTTTGGATATATCCTAGAGCTATTTTTTTATTTATAATTTTGGATATATTTTAGATATCAGCCCTAGAGCATTTTTTTGCCCTTTTGCTGACAAGGTTCAAACTGTAATCACAGTTGGAACCTTGTCGTAAATTACGCTGATAACAACAATTTATTCAATGCAAACTTATTAGATATGTATATTACTTCGTTTTGAATTTTAAAATAATAAGTAGTGTTCAGCAATGTATTTGGTATCCAGTGCGTTTAGTATATTATTTCGTTTTGCTTGCAGTGTTACTTTTTTATAACATGTTGCTGCTGACTAATGCTCGCTTGTCTGACCTATAGTTAGCCCAATCCAACGAAATTCCTAGTGGCAAGAAGCGCAACATACGCCTGTCGTTGGCAACATCCTTTCACCTTACCTTGATTTAGCTCAGTTTCGCTCCCAATTTTAAACCCTGGGAAGGGGGGCGAATCCGAGCGTCTCCCATTTCTCTTCTTCTACCGCAAACCTTTTGAGAGGACTTTCACCTCACATATTTAGAGTGCCCTGGTGTCGCACATACATTATACATTTACAAACATCCATGACTTCTCCCGGATTTGAACCCAAGCCCTTCGGCACGGCAGTCAGCAATGCTAACCATTATACTGTTTGGCCGGCTTTTAATAGCATAAATGTTCAATAAATATGTTTAAGTGTGGGTTTTAACAAAGCACAGAATGTTTTCACATTTAGACAAAACTTATTTTTTGTTTTTGGTTTTTTAATTAATTTTTTTAATATCATTACTACATAGGCGCTCGTTAGACATTTGCACGATGCTGCCGGTTAGGCTTGGCGCTGGCCTGACTACTGCAAACAAATTTTTGCATGTTGTGCAGAAATGAGTGGTTTTTCTCACTGGCACCTGATTATGCATTCTTATCCTCTGCCTGCGAATGGTTCGATCTAAAATCTGTTGGGAAGAGTCTTGATTGATGATCTGTGTCAACTGAAGCACAGTAGAGTCCCTGTTCTACGGTACAACTCGTCAGAAATGACTTCGATTATTCTCTTGGAAAACTGTGCTCAAACCGTAGTTACGTCTTTAGAGAAGGACTGTGGGTTGAAAGATCTGTCGTTTTTCCCATTTTACTTCATTCAGCACTCTTACTAGCATTCAGAGAGAGAGAGAGAGAGAGAGAGAAAAATGTATACTTCATTCCTAGGGCGCATTCATATAAAAATCTCAAAGGTTTCTAATTCATTGGCCAGTGTGTGTATATGTGTGCATTGTATTAAAACTGATTAAGTAATGATTAAAATAAAACTTCAGGTATATTGTAGTATTTTGCAAAGAAATGGCCTGTTTATAAAGAAATCATGTATTATAGTATGTAAGCATTAGAAAATTTTCCCCCTCTTTTTTATAAATTTTGCATTCTGATTTTTACAAATATAGCCTTCCATCATTTGCTGCTTTAAGTAATCTCAATAGTACTACACTTCCTGCAAATTTTGTGTTGAAATTACCCAAACCAATACCAATGGCTACTAGTTTGGCTAAAAAAATACAAGCTGTTACAAATGCGAGTAAGTTAGATTTTTTTAAATGTGTTATATGTTGTAAATACTAATACAATCTCTGAAGGTAGATTAATTTGAAGTACTCATAATTAAAATTGTGATCTCTTTTAAATGGCAAAATATTCCTGATTAATTAACATTATTTAAATTAAAATACACTGCTGGCCATTATAATTGCAACACCATAAAGGAAAACAAATGCAAAAAAGATATTTATTGTACTTAAACAGTATGGCATAAAGACAAAATGATTAAATTTGTAAGCAGTTTGGGGTTTACAGGGGTGCGAAATTAGTAGAAACACCTGCCACCCCTGGCAGCTGAAACGGTCCTTACCTGATTAGGCATCTAGTCAAACGAGGCTTGGATCACAGAAACAGGCAACTCATTCCATGCTGCTTCAAGTCTATGCCCCACTTTATCAACTGCATTAGCTGAAGAAAGGCGGTGGGCCAGTCTCTCAGCAACCCATGACCAGATGTTTTCAATGGGTGACAGATCTGGAGACCGTCCAGGCCGGGCCAACATTTGAATACTCTCTGTATCAATGAAAGTCAGAACATGATATACAACATGTGGTCTTGAATACAGAGCACAACTGCTGGCCTCAAATATAGAGCACAACCGCTAGGTGTAAAATGTCAGAAATGTACCGATCTGCATTCAAATTACCATCAATCTGAACTTGAGATGTGCATGTTGTGTACCCAATGGCTGTCCAAACCATCACACCAGGTGCAGGCCCCCCTAGGCCGAAATCGAATGCAAGGAGGCTACGTGCAGTCTCCTTGGAGCTGCCGGTATGTGGCCATCAGAATACTGCACGCAGAATCAGGACTCATCTGAAAAGGCGACATTATGCCACTTCTGTATCCAACTTTGATGTTCAGTATACCAGAGTCACCGTCTCTGTGTATACTGCAGTGTCAGGAGAAGCTGAAGGAATGGTCGCCATGCTGATAAGTCCATGCTGCTGCAAACATCGACACTCTGTACAAGCTGATACTAGACATACTGCAAACATGCCCATTTCCTGACTAATGGTCTGTGATATGGTTGCATGATTTTACAGGGCTGGGGTTATTAGTCATGAGAGGGTGTTGAGACCCTGCATGCTGTTCAGTATCACCCTCAGCAATCCATTGATTCCGTATTCTTATGACTGCGGTTGGATGTTGACCAGTGTGATAGGCAACATCATGGAATCATAATCCACACTCTCGATAGGCAACGATCCTGCCTGTATCGAATTTTCACACTTGCCAGTAAACATTTCTTAATATTATTCAAGACATAACATGATATTCTGAACAACTTGGACCTGACAAAACGCTTTCCGAATTAGAAATCCACATAACTTTTCTTTTATGCAATGCTTTAGATATCATTTCTCCCTTCTGCGTCGTCTAAATGTGCTGAAATTCTAATCATTTGCATATCCCAACCTCGTCTTCCTTTCATGTCATTTTGACGTTCGCCAGATCATTCCTTCCTGGTGGTTGCAATTTGAATGGCCAGCAGTGTATTTACATTTATTTGCTTCCATGTTTTTATATTCTTTTTAAATTATTAGTGTATTTTGGTTGCATTTATTTATTTATTTATTTATTTTAAAGTTAATGTGTAAATGTTTAATTTTAAAATCTTAGATTATGAAGTCTACAGAAACTAATTTTTTGAATCATTACTTTGTTTGATAATTTAATATTCTGTGATTTTTCATGATCAGACAATTGATTTTTAATTTACTATCGTAATAGTAATTGTTTGCGTTTATTATTATCATTTAGAATTGTCTGATTTTGCCGATTTTTCCACTGTGCAACCTTTGTTGTCTGTCATTATAAACGACACATCAAATGGCAAGCTTTCAGTTGGAGATCAAGGATTATATGTGGTGAGTCTCATTTTAATGGGTTAAGTATTATAATACTTTTATTGTACATTTAAATTGTCTCAAATTTTAGCATTGCTCTAAAAATTTCAAGAAATGTTATTGAAAGAAAAACAGCTTTTTTTAACTGCTTCAAAACAAATTTAAATTCATTTCTAATATTTATACTTACCAGATCTAATTATTAGCAGTAAAAAAATGTCATATTTTTTCCTCCAAAATATTTTGATTTTGCATGCTAGCTTATTTTGTTACATGCAACATAAGTGCACTACTACTTAGTGATACTATGTTGCCTAAAACAGATTTGTTTCTAAGTTTGTAAGTAAACCCATGATAATATTAATTATGTAACTTTGCAAATTCCGCTTATAAGTCTGTAGAACTCATTAGTGTAATGATTTCTAGTTATATATTTGTTGTATAAGAACTTAAAGTGAAATTTTATGTGTATAAAACCTTTTGACCTACAATGTTGAAACAATTTTTGTCTTTCTTATTTAGGATATTTAGATTATATATAGCATATCAAAAGTTGATTGTATAAAACGTAAAAACGTATACCTTATTGTCTCTCTTTTTTTAAAACATTCATGTAAAATAATGTAAATATAATTTTGTTTTAGACACTTTTACACAGGCTTTGATGATAGTAAATGATTAAATAGAGTTACTTTTGAAATAAAATAATAAAAATACTAAATGACATATTGCTAAATTGCCCTGTAATATATTTTGACCGCAGCTTGTGATCCTCATCATCAGACTGCTAGAGTTTGAAGATACATTTGTGTTTGAAGAGCTTTTCATGATTTCCCGGTTTTTTTTTTCTCATGGATTTGTCTTAATGATTGACTTGCATGTATGCACCCATGTATATTTTTCTTATGTATGTATATTATATGTCCATGTATATTATATTAATATGTATATTTTTCTTGTACAGTCCATTTAATTATAGAGTTTTTATAAATTCCCTCTGTATCTTGGGTATCAACACTTTCTAGCAATTTTCAAGCTGTGTTATAAACCAGTTACAGTCCCCTTCTTTGCAACAGAAATCGTTAGTGACTTAATATTCACTGGCAGTGATGTTTTTTCGAATAAAGTAATATTCATATCAAATTCTGGCATGCAAAAATAAGTAAAATCCTAAAATTCCATAGCTAATATTTAATTTTAAAGTCAGTGAATAGTGAAGGAGTTAGTAATATCTTTTCATACATAACATTCTGGAATTTGGATACAATAAAATGAGGAAAAGTTATATGAATTGATCGTTATATGTTCCGTTATTGATGCTGAGAGAAATGTATTTTGAGGATGCAATCAATTAGCGTAATGGTAAAAGGTACCAGTTTAGAGCCACTGTTGAGTTGAAAATTCAATTCAAATGTATCTAGTCAACAGTCTGATGATTGCTGTATGTAGTCCGAATACTTTGCAGAGGTAATTATAGCTCTTGAATATTTTAGCAAGTTCACATATTTATTTTAAAATGTATTTATTTTTTTTTAAAAAGATGTTCCTTGTTTAAAAAGTACATTTTGTACATGGTATGCACAAAAAATAATGTACAATTATATTTATATATATATATATGTACACATACACACCTTACAATTTTTTTTTTTTTTTGTTTAATTTTATCATTGCATTTATATTTCTGATCAGTATTTTGCATTTAAAATTCATATTTTTTTTTTATTATTTTTTAGACACTTCCAGATCAACATCATTGTTATATTCTCAATTCAAGTCCTGATTTAGAAGGTGTCATGGTTTCATCTATACCATTTACTCATCCCACACATGTGCCTCAAATATTAGTGTTTTTAAGACAGCAAATGCTTTTTAATACAGTTATTAACAGCTGTATTCGACCAAGCAGTAAAAAAGGTAAGTTAGGCTAATATATTTTTTTTCTCCTTTTATTTTTTTTAACCTCTGTGAAAACAAAATAAAAGGAAAGCTGTGCAAAGGCGTCATTACAATGAGCAGGAAGAATGAATATCAGCCCAGAAACTTTTCAAGTTGCCTGAGGGGATAAATTATCAGCTTCCAGACATGGAATTCCATATGTAAAATGGGGAAATAAACTTCAACAAGGCAGTGGCTGCTGCCATCCAAAATCCTTTCTCATCATATGTATCTGGGAGTGTCTGAATAAAAAAATGCAGATGTTTTTAGTAGTGTTTAATGAAATCGACAGTTTTATGCATCACGTGTAATCTGAAATTAATCTAGTAACATTTGTTATGTATTTTTGTAAATGTCTTTATTTTTGGTATTCATTCTGTATTTAACTAGTGTCTCTTCTATGTGAATATGGTGATGAAAATACTAAGCATATGCTTATTGAGTATTTGATTAACTGCATTGCTGTGTCCGTTTTTTTATTTGAATATTAGCAAAAAATAATGTTCTTGTTATCTCCAGATGCTGAATCTCCATTTATGTTTGAAGTTATGGCATATTCAACATCGCATATTTTAGTTTCATTTGAGCATCCTTTGGAAGAGTCATTAGCAACAGGTAATGTATATACTTTCTTATGTACCCTCTTACGTCCATTTCATGGTATGTTTAAATACAGTTTGGTACTCTGTGGTATGTTTTAATACAGCTATAAACAGTTTGCTGTTTATATGTTAAATTCTAACAAATTAGAAAGTTCATGTGAGATTTATTGTCCTATTGTGTCATATTTTAAGAATCCTGAATATAATGCTAAAGAATATAAAAGTCTGGAAGGAATGAAAAATTCATTTCTTATCACTGTATAATGTAATTTTTATTTTGTGGCTATTCAGTTTCATATTTTCTCATTAACTGTAATTGAGTACTGCTATTGCTTATTCTCTTTTACCTGTATTTTATTTATATGCACCTTCAAACTGTGACAAGGTGTTACAAAATCTACATTTTGTCACAGAATTTATGTTTTCAACTGCCACATGTAGGTACTAGCTCAGAAAATGATTCAAAATTAGTGTTGATTATATTATTGTAGGTGTCGAAGGAAGTTATAATTTATTGAATTGGCATTAGTGGATCTTGTTACTGTTTGATTCAAATAAACATTACATTTCATTATTTCTAGTACCGTAATTTCCGAAAGAAACGCTGCATCATTTATGTGTTTAAAACTTAAATTTTCAGCGGGTGCAGCATTTCTACCCATGCGGCATTTAGGTGCACTAAAAATAAAATATTTCCTAAGATGGTCATTGTACATAGTTTGGATGGCCTTGTCATTGTACAATGACTGGTGTTGTTCCCACACAAAAGACCACTCAGTTGCTTTTTGCGAACGTTATTTTGTTTACATTCTTTCCCTTGAACGGACCTACATGCCTTATTCACCCTAAATGGGATCTCAGAACAATAACATTCTTCCCCCTTTCAAATCAACATTCTCATCAGTTTGAATAGTCTCTGCCATTGGATGAATCTTCCAGGACCCATCCTCTCCTGCCTTTTCTGCAATTTTTACTTCCTTGTACGAAGTAAAAAGGAAGTATTGTAATCGCGAAAAGCTTCAGGCAGCATATTTCAACGAAAATATCCACTTTGACTGCTTTCGAATGCAATTTAACGATGTTTTTGTGTGATATCTGTACATAAGTACAGAATAAAAGACTCTTTTCCTCCAAAAAAACTAAAAACTGCTTTAAAATGAATTCTGAAGAGAATTTTTCGTGGCGTCTGTACGAACGTATCTCGCATAACTCAAAAACGAGTAGCCTCAGAACTTTGAAATTTTGTATATAAGACTACTATAACATGTAGATGTGCACCTCGTATTTTGGTTTCAATCGGCCACGCCAAACGTATAAAAATATATTACAAATATATCCACTCTGTTACCCGGCTCAGTGATCTCAGTTTCTTTACTCTTATATGTTTGTAAATTGTACATTTTTTGCTTTAAAAATGATTGAATTATGTTGTTTTTATTTTACGGTTAAGGGTTTTATGCCTTTAGTAAATCTGTATGCAATATTTTTAGAATTATCAACAATTTTAAAATTGTTTAAGTGCCGCTAACCCTAATTTGATGGCGGCCATTGCTCTTGTTTACATTTGAAACAGCTGAGTAACGGATTTGTTGCCAATCTAGGGAAACTTAGCTTCGCAACAACAAAGATAATGCATTCATTTATTATTTAAATCATTCTTAATCCTTTCTGGAATTTTTCTGAGGAAATAAGCGAAGATTTACTTCGTAATTTTTAATACAGATATTTTGAGTTTTTATGTATTTTTGCCTTGTTGCGAAGTGAAAACTGAATTAATTGAATGAGAAAATACTCAATCGTCTGTGAAAAACTTTGCTTAATTTCTTTTATGCATAGTTCTAGCTTTATTATAGTATTTGAATAGAACATGTGGCAACGATTAAATAATTCTTTAAATGATATAAATTTTGTGCATTCTGAGTTATAATATGAACGAAATATAATACTGTTAAGTAAACCTAGCGCCAGAGTGTCACTATGGTAAACAAAAAGAATTTTAAAGAATGCATTTATTCTATTGTGGTTTATGCGCTGTCGGCGAAGTAGGTTTAATTCAATCTAATAAGTTTAAATAAAATGCAAGAAAAAATGCATATAATTTAATATTCCCTACAAGGAAGTCATGTGGTGTACACATCAGATTTTTTTCTAAGGCGGACATGACTCCACCTGCCTCGCGATAACGAACTCTGACATATTTCCCCTTCAGCATGAAACGATTTTTCTTGGCATTCTGCCAGATACAGATCCCATCAGTTTGGGTACAAGTACTTGTTGGATAGTTTTTAAGAAGGGAGTGGAAAATTTTTGAAAATGGCACCTAAACAGCACAGAAGCTATACTGCTGGTTTTAAGCTTAATGTAATTTCATGTGCTGAACAAATCGGAAATAGAGCAGCAGCTCGAGAGTTTGAAGTGGACATGAGATGTATTCGTCGTTGGAGAACTGAAAAAGAACTTCTTAAAAATATGCCACATCAGAAACGAGCCAAAAGAAGTGGTACTGTAACAGGGTTCGTAGCGGTCCTTACAAGTGCTTATAAGAAACCAAAATACGAGGTGCACATCTACATGTTATAGTAGTCTTATATACAAAATTTCAAAGTTCTGAGGCTACTCGTTTTTGAGTTATGTGAGATACGTTCGTACAGACGCCACGAAAAATTCTCTTCAGAATTCATTTTAAAGCAGTTTTTTAGTTTTTTTGGAGGAAAAGAGTCTTTTATTCTGTACTTATGTACAGATATCACACAAAAACATCGTTAAATTGCATTCGAAAGCAGTAATAACAGTGAAAATAAAATATAAAGGCCCTTATAGGTGCTTACTTTTTCTTTAAAGCCTTTTTTTTTTTTTTTTTTTTGTTTTTAGTGCTTATTTTTTGCTTTTAGTGCTTTTTTTAATCCTTTGTTTTTAATGAACGCACATTTTTTTCCTGTACCAAAGCCGAAACTAAGTAAACAACTTTTCTTCCTTATATGCAACGTCAGATGGTGAATCATACTCCCGAAAATTGCTTTCCCCCCTTCCTCTGCATTAACGTAACGTATGGTGCGCGCGAGAGTATAGACAAGTGCACGTCGTTCTATTGGCCAAAAATTCCGGTACATTCGGTATTCTTTTCCTCCCACCCAAATACTACACACGTTTGAATTTCTATCATCATTTTAATAAATGTGCATTCTCGTTCCGCGTGGTCAGTTCATATCCGTGTTTATTATGATCGTTATGCTTATATTATGAGCATATGTATGAATATTTATGATAATATCATTGCAGTAACTGCTGAAGTATAGATAAACTTCCAAAAATGGGTTTTTACACAGATTAGCTTCCTAAGGAATAATATTTGGAATGCCTTAAATGAAAGGAAAGTAATCGAATAGTCAAAATAATTTCGTTTTCTTTGCCAATACATTATACAGTACGGAGGTTGGGAGTTTCTCCGCAAAATCTCTAATATTGAAGCAGCGGACTTTTTTTTGTCACTGTCCAATATGCATTGAATAGGACTGAAAGTTTTTAAGGTCTACCCAACCCAAGCGAAGATTGATTCTATTCCTGAAATTTAATACAGTCTGTTGAAAATTAGAATCAGAAACACCCCAGATTTAGTAAGTCTCTTTTCTTTTCCTTTATTTAGTTCTTCTATTCTCCCGAATACCGGCAGCTGTTGAATTCCGATTGCGTAATATCATGCATATGGAAGAATTACGGCCGCACATATTGCGCAATAACGTTTGCGGTATTTTGCATTGATAATTAATTTTGATGTTCAGTCTGAGATTTGTTTATGAGCACTTAAAAGAGTTTTACTGTGCTTTCTAAGCAGAATATTTTCTCAGTTCCGTTGGTTTGTTTTTATATGATGCACATATTGAAATGTCAAAATCATTTATTTAGCCTGGAATTTAAATCTAAAGAACGGCTACAGTCTATCCTTCCCCTCCACTCCTCTTTTATCCAGTTACGCTCGACTGTCCAGAAAATTCGGGAACTTTCCGAGTTATGCTGGTTAGTTAAGCTTTTACTGTTAAAGATGACTGAATGAAGCAAATTTCCCGTCTTCTGATTTCAGAAATGTTGCCTTTCTTTTTTACTTAAATTACTTTGCTTGGGATATATGTTAAGGGAAAACTGTTATGCAATGAAAATTTAGAAAATGTTCAGAATTTTGATTTAAGTTAAATTATTTAAATATTAATTTGAGTGGAAAAATGAATTGTATTTATTATTAGGTGCCAAACAAATACAATTAATATGGCTTATTATTATTTATTTTCTATATTTTCAACTGAAATATCATAATTAAATTTTGTAATATAGTTTAGTTCTGCATAGCTCATTGTAAACTAATTCTGTAAATTGAACTGTTATTTAAATTTTTTTTTAAAAAAAGTTAATTGTTTTCCATTGTTGAGGTAATGCTCATTCTCTTAATAAATATTGCATTGCTCATATTTTAAATTACAAGTCTAATTTTTCTTTTAAGGCTATGCAGTTGTGTATAATGTAAGTAGACAGGTGCTTATTTTTTCCTTAAAATGTGCTTGAAAAGTGCTTATAGGTGCTTATTTTTTTAACTAAAATGTGGTTATGAACCCTGTGTAAGGTGGCCGAATCTAGAGGACGACCTTGCAAACTGGAGAAAGGTGCAACGAGGAAAGGGAAGGGCAATTTCGACTGTAAAAATTCGCTTAAAAGCAAAATTTATAGCAAAACAAATGAACATAAATGATTTCAAAGGAGGACCTTGCTGGTGTAGCAGATTTATGAAAAGAAAAAATATTTCTGTGCGTAATAGAACAATAGTTGGGCAACAATTACCAATGGCCTGGCAAGATAAAAAGGCATCTTTAGTAAAATATGTGACAGATATTATTGACAAAAAAAAAAAAAAAAAAAAAAAAAAAAAAAAAAACCTTCTTCGGTCACAGATAATAAATATGGATGAAACGCTGTTAGCTTTCGACTCTCCTGCAAACAGAACTGTTGATGAAACTGGTCAAAAAC